CGGATTATAGATATATTAACTAGTTCTACTAAACTAATATAATCAGATTTATAATATATTCTATATATTACTTCTCGAACCCTAGAATTAGAGGGATAAAAAATAAAATAATAATAGGAATATACTAATACTAGAACTATAAGATAATAATAAATAAGAAATTAAAGAAATAAAAGACTATTAATATTTTAATAAAAGATCCTATTTCTTAATTAAATAGAAAGGCTAGTTATTAGAGTATAATTAATAAATCCTAGAAGAAGATATAATAAATATAAAAAGAGCTATTATAAAATATAAAAAATAAAGGTAAAAAAATAAGATATTACTTAAAAAGAAATCTTATAAACTAAATAGAAAACTACTAAAACTCTATTAGAATAATACTATTATTATTACTATAGAATAGTAATATAAATATAGAACTCTATTTAAAACTTAGGAATAGGAATAAAAAAGTTCTTTTTTAACTATTTTAGGCGATACTTGGTATCGGGATTATTAGTCGGATTAAAGACCGCCGGATTAGGACTATATTTATTTTAGGATACTATTTATAGGGCTACTAAAAGCCTTTATTTTACCACTATCTAATATATAAAATTATTATCTCCTAGAACTAAATAAAGAAAACGCTAAGACTAGAACTTTCAGAGATATTTCCCTGAGAGATCCTTAAACAGAAGGATATAAATAGCTATATCCTAGTAACGAATAATAATATATATTATATAAACCTTATATTAGGTTTATTAAAATATTAACAAAATTATACTAGTATTAGTAATCCTATTTATTATAGTCGATTTATAGGTAATAATAAAAGAGAACTAATAACGATATATTAACTCTATTATATTAAAGGCCTTTATAAGCTCTATTATAGTTTTTCTAGCCGCGATTAATATATTATTCTTTTATTTATTCTCTTTCTTTTTTTTTCTCTTTTTTTTAGGAGTATCTTTAGTTAAGGGCTTTAGGAACTCTTTATTTAGCTAATTAAGGATTATTTATAGATTATAAGCGTCTCTAATTATACTCTCTATAACCTAAAGAATATTAGTATAAATTAAAATAAGATACCACGGAATATACTATATTATATAACGCGTTACGGGCGGAATACTACTAATAGATAACCGAAGCCGCTATATCTAGTTTATATTTAATAACGAAAAGCGACTTAGAGTTATATATCTTAATCTTAGTCTAAAAGTATTTAGTATACTATAAAAAAATAGATAAAATCGTGGTGGAATACGTTAGCCGGTATAATAACCGATCTAAATAATAATAACGAGGTATAACGATAGTAATAGTAATAAAAAGATAGTAGAAAATAATAAGAATAGTAAGAAATAGATAATAGAGCGCGATAAATATAGTATAAAAAGAGAAAAGAAGAAGAAAAAAAGAGTTACTACTTAAAAATATAAATAAAGACTCGAATATATAATTTAACGCATCTTTATTTACTAGTTAACTATATAATCTCTTTATCGCCTTAATAGTAAGGTAAACGAAAACCCTACAAAAAGATATTATATTAATATATCTATATTATAATAATAAGATAAACGCGTTAGTTAAGGCTATCTAACCTTAAGAGAGGGGATAATTATAAAAGGTCTACTAAGATAGTAAGATATAAGGTTATTCCTAACTAACGAAAGGGGTAAATTAGGTAATATTATATAATCCTAAAAAAAATCGGGGTATTGATAGGGGCACCTCAAGATTTTCGCTATTGACACCTCATTTTCTGACATAAGCAAAATCGCTGATATAATCAATTTTCATCACTATAGCAACTATATACTGCATATCTACTCAATATTCTGCTTCATCTCTTTTTCTCTTCTACTACTACCCTGCTAGTTCTTCGCTTTCTGCATACCCTATCTGCTTCGTCTGCTCTATCATGCATACCATGCAAACCAACCCCGCTATGCCTACCCCCAGCACCCCTACTGCCGCTACTCCCCCCGATATCTCTGCTGCCACCACTGGCAATTCGACTGTCGATTTGCCTACTAGACCCCTCGCCAATTCGCCTACTGATTCGCCTGCCGATTCGCATGCTGATTCGCCTGCCGCTGCCACTACCGATCTGCTGCCCCCACCACAACGAACCTTCCCTAATCGGGATGAATTGGTCGATTTTATGCGCCAATGGGGTATAGCGCAGGGGTATACTACTACTATCAAGCGGTCCAATGCTGATAGGCAAGTCTATCTCCACTGCGATAGATCTGGGGTATATTCGGACCGAATACAAGCGCCTGTAGGCGCCAAAAGGCGCAAAACGAGTACTCGGCGGCAAAATTGTCCATTTTTGGTATATGGGAGTCGCCAGAGGAGTTCTGATTGGCTACTTCAGGTAAAGAACCCCGCGTATAATCATTCTGCTGATCAAGATATAATAGCGCACCCAATCGCACGTTAATTTACCCCAGCGTAGAAAACCTTAATTCAACGACTCTCTGCTATTAGACCGAAGCATATCATTGGTGCGCTATATAGCGAGTCCCCTCGTCAACGAATCATACTACGCGATATCTATAATATACGAGCAGAAATTCGACGAAAAGAGATAGGAGAACGTAGTATTCTTGAATATCTATAGATACTACTCGATTCAGAAGGTTATAAATATTCATTTAAGCAAGATAATATGGGGTATATCGAATTTTTTCTTTTCTCTCATCCTTAGTTAATTCAATTGGCCAATTCATATAATAAGGTATTTATCTCATCTATTTTTATATGATTTTATTAGCTAATATTTTAAGGTTTTTATTATGGATTACACATATAAGACTAATCGGTTTGGTATGCCTCTATTTCATATAGTAGATATGACGCTATTAAACCATACATTCACTGCAGCTCTATATTTTATACCTGATGAGGTTGAAATAAGCTATATTTGGGTGCTTCAGACCTTTTTTGATTGGCTAAATCTCTTATCTAAATCTGATTTTCGTCCGATTTTGGTAACTAATCGCGAATTAGCTTTAATAAATACGATATATAGTATCTGGGGGTATCATACCTCACATTTACTATGTATTTGGCATATCAACAAAGCAGTTTTAGCGAGGGCAAAACGAGATATCAACCAATCAGACGAAAATACTCCCTAATTCGATGAATTTATACGTGTATGGTGTTAATTGGTCCAATCATCTACCGAAGATGAATACAAGGTTAATCTTGATAACCTTAATCGGACCTATAGGAGATCTCATCCACTAATTATACGCTATCTCGCAGATATATAGCTACCCTATAAAGAGAGATTTGTCTATGCTTGGACCAAAAACCTTACCTATTTTGGTAATAATGCATCATCACGTATCGAGGGGGCGCATTCGGTCCTAAAACGGCATATGAATACTTCTACTAATGATTTACTCACTGTGTGGAAGTCTATTCATAAGGCTATCACCAGCCAATATAATCTGATTGAATATCAGATTAAAGCAGATCAGATAATATATCTGATACTAGCATCTGATTGGCTATATACCTTTCTCAATAAGCGAGTATCTCGATATTCGCTGAGGCAGATTGATATACAGCGAATCTATGCTAGTAGGGCTACCCTAGAGGCCCCTCTTGGTATATGCACCAATTATTGGACGAGTACTATGGGGTTACCATGCAAGCATCGAATTGCTGATTTGCTCGCAAAAAAAGAAGCAATCCCATTGGCTGATATTCATCCATTCTGGCGAATTAGGGTTGAAGATTCATCTGATATCGCCTGGCAGCCACTGCTAAATCCCCGAATTCAGCCTGCTGCTTTCCCAAAAAGGCAATCTACGCAGATATCAGATGGGAGCGAGGGGGCTAGACCAATCAAAAAAAGGAAGGCGCCCCCAAAGTGTTCGAATTGCGGCGAAATTGGGCATACATGTCGAAGTTGCCCTATTGCCAAATAGGGTAATCTGTTTTTGGTGGTTAGGATAAGAGGATCATGTGATTAGAAAATGGATCAAAAAAGATTATATAAGTCAAAATGAGTATTACATAATATAATGAGGTGTCAATAGCGAAAATCTTGAGGTGCCCCTATCAATACCCAAAAATCGGAACTTATTATTTAATCTACCCTATAGTAGAATAATCACGATATATAATAAGGACCTAGTCGTTTATATTATCGATGATACGTGGAGTTATGAAGATACTATATAATAAATTAATACTCCCGTATCCAGCTAGTAAAACAAGATTCAGTCTTAATAGTAATAAAGATATACTATTTCTCCTACTCCTTCCCCTTGTTTCTTTACCTGATCGATAGGTCTTATACCCTGCCAAGTATATTCTTTACATATATTTATCTAATCTTAACCCTATCGAACTAGTATAGCGACTTCTAAAGATTAAAATTCTTTAATTATACCCTTAGCTAGATAATAGAAGGTCTAAATTAGATTAGGAGGTCTTTAAAAAAGCTATATATAAAATATAGGAACTATTTAATTAAAATATTATTAATAGCTTAATTCGATCTATACCTTGTAGAATAGCTACTATACACGTAGCAAAGGGTTGGTATACTAGATATTAACCTATTTTCTTTATATCTTTAGTATAAATTTATATTAATTAATATCAGGGGAGTTATTTAGTTTTTTTAATATGGTAGGGTAAATCTGAATTATAGAGTGTACCCAGACTTTTGGCCGCGTAGTGTATTATCTGAAAAAACGGGTTTTCAAATAGGGATTCATTTTCCGTGATTATCCGGAGTAACTAAAGAGTGGAACGCATTCTAGTTAAGCTAGAATAACCTAGGGATACCCTCTCTAATGACTATGACCCTCGATGAGGTTGCTAGCACAAAGAGAGGTAGCCAGAATTGCAGACCAAGTTCCTTAACCCACGCTACTCCTCCTTTCAAAATGCCTTCAAGGTAATGAGTGGAATGAAATAAACCTTCTGAGAAAGTCACATATAATGTGTTAGAGAAGTCATGTTTCCCGGAATTAACCAGTATTCTTCTGCTAATAACTATTAGTAAGGATTGATTTGAGGCTCTAGGTAAACACAGACCTCAGTACCTGCACTAGAGGTATTAGATGTGGATGTCTGCGTAGACGGTTGTGTGTTGGCATCGCGCGCCTTGCGGTTTTCGTCTCGCTTGTCCTTTGAGGACATAGCAGCACCGACCATCATCCCGACTGACTTTGACCCGGCATTTGCGATGGCACTAGTAACAGCTTTGCGGGCGTCGTCACTGCTGGCCATGGTGGTTGTTGATAGTGGTGTTGAGTTTCTGTAGGGAATATTGAAAGTAACAAGAGAGATAATAGAAGTATAGCAAGACTGTAGATGATCAAAAGCGATTGAAGCGGGGATTTGACCTCTACTTTATACTTTTTCCCTTATACCAATCCCCTCTTACCTTCGTGTCCTTTGAAGCCATTAAAGTCATCCTATTCTCTAAGTGTACCGGAGACGGTCATATGTTGTCTACACTGCCCGTACCAACTTTTCATAAAATCCTATCATTGCTCCAGGAAGGTTTGTCTGCCTAAAAACCACGTCGCGTTCAAAAGTTGCGCGGGTATGTTGCATGAGAGAGCATAACCTAGTGCATGATGCTGCGGACATTACGATTTTGATTATTTGATTTGCTTAGAGGGCCTGGCATGAGATTACTGAAAATGGCTAAGTATATGGCATGGCGGGCGTGTTTATGCATTGTAGCCTTGTCTAGCTATATTCGTCTTAGCGCCGCTATAAACCGCCTCACTAGAGATACTAAGTCCGAAAGGAGTTTAGATTTCAAATTAGCTTCCTTCTCGAGATCTATTGGCAAGGGTTCGAAGATTCTATTAACAAATCCAGTGTTGTAGGGGGGAGAAAAAAAAGCCGCAACTATGAAAAACTGTGATATAAACCCGGGCACTTGAATTCGGATAAGTTTATGAATGACCAGATCCTAGAGACCATAAATGTCTGATGTCTGATGGTTGGAGGTATGAGGTATAAATAGCAAAGCCTTCGTTCACATCGTCTAAAATCTTCGGAAAAGACAAAACAACGAACACTTCCCCGCCCCCAGAAGAATGATGCTAGATCAGATCATCCCGCCAGGCTATGACATCTCCCAGTTCAATGGCAATTGCTGCTTTCTTGTCCAAATCTGATCCCTGTCGGTGAGAACCTTCATAGAAAGTAAACCAACCAGTGGCTGGGGATAACTGCGTGATTGCAATAGTTATATAGACTCGTAGTCCGGCCGTCATTAACTTGGCATGATCAGCGTCTGTTTCACGAAATATCCCAAGATGAACTGTTTTCGGCGAGGACACAGAAGTTGGTTTAGGGGGGATAATGGAGCGATCAATTCAGGATCCATGTTCTGATCAATTTAGTAAAAGACCTGATTGAAAAAAGAAGAAGCAGGATACCTGGAGCAATTCATTCTTAATATCAAACTTGTCTGAGGCACATGGTATTCGTTATATTTGTACTTGTTGGTTGTGGGCTCCATATTCTCTAGCCCCCTCTGGAACTCATCGACAAGCTTTGACGTTGGAGATGTTGGAACCGCATATCTCAGCACGAAAAGACCATCCTAATTAGCCATCTTGGAGGGGGAACATCTAAAGATCGTTGAAAAATAATGAGAATCTTTAGAAAGAAACAAAAAGATCACCTTAGGTGGGTTTCAGGAAATATAAACCTATCCATTTACACATGACTAGGCAGAAGCGAGCCTCAGAAGAGTCTCGTGATTGAGGCTCAACTTTATTTTTCAAGTCTATATTATCATATTATCAACAAGACAGCAAGGTTATCCTAGTCCACGTCCTTATCATTCTAAAAGCGAACACTTTCATCGATCTTCTGATCGATGGGATACCAAAACAAGCGGGTCAAAACAGAAGAAATAATCAGGTCGAAAATGACTATGGAACCAAGTCTGGTTGATCTTGCCAACCTCCAAGTCCTACTCAGCAATACAGTCAAAGCATCATTGATAGCTCAAGACGAAAGAATAAACAATTATGATTGACGTGACACATCTACAGCTCAAGTCGCGTAAACAAGCGGCGAGTCGGCACCCCGGATTTTCCCTTCCGTGCGGGGGGCTTCTCAAAACCCCATGTTTTCTTCTCTTCTCGTCCTTTTCCCCTGATTAACCCGCTGTTATCTGGCTCTCCCATCAAATGCGATGGAGATTCTTCGATACAATGATCTTTTTCACCTACTAATACTTGTTGATTCGCTAACCACCCTCCTTCCCTTCATCTGTCTCTGCACCCTCCCCGCCTCCACTCGTCTTCGGTCACATCAAAGACTCAGTCCCCGGTGAGTCGATCATACATTTCAACATATACTCTGGCTCTACCACTTGGAGGGTATCAAACCCCGGCAACGACAAGAACCCACATTATCGCAAATGTGCGGGTGTCGATTGCTGTTTGCCTCTAGGTACCCAAATCAACCAGAAGACTTACACAGCGTGTGGACACGATTTGCTCTGTTTGTGTCTACATGAAAGTCGGTCTCCTACATTTAGCTACTTTCAGATTACAATGGTATCCCCACAGTTCCTCTTTATTAATGCAGTTATTTCATACTCGACAAATATTATATGCCTTCGCCCAAATACCATCCTCATCATTGACCCCTCTATTTACTGCGGCATCTCCGGCAACTTGGGGTCCTTGATCGGCCCGTCATCACCAGTGTGATCTGACTTCTTGCACCGACTGTACAACTTTTGCACGAAGGTCTTGATCGAGCGCTTCGACTTCCCATTGTCGTCCGCACACGTGCTGCCCGAATCCCAGGGCTGCGGGTCTTTGATGAGGTCGTCCTTGAGGGCCTTTTCAAGCGCCTTCCACCAAACATAGGCCATCTTGCTGTACCCGTAGTCATTCGGATGAGTAGAGTCGGCCTTATCGCCGTGCGTGTAGTCCTTGGGCCACTTGAGCCAGCCGTGGCCGGGATCAGGGGCCTCGGGATCCATGTCGGCCAGGACAATGTTGATGCCCTCATTTTTCATGGACTTAACCAGTTGCCGGTATTGCTTGTTGACAGCTGGGCGGTGCTCGGCGGTTTGTTTCTTGTGGGAGGGGATCAAGGTCGAGAGCACGATGAGGGTGTCTTTCATGCCGTCTGCCTTGACGAGGCTATTGATCAGCTTGTGCATGCGGGTGTGGGCATTCTTGATGTCGATTTCCTGGGCGCAGTCGTTGGTTCCTGCGTTGATGAGAACGACGTTGGGCTTGTAGGGCAGAGAGCCTTGGGCGGCTTCGCGAACTTCGTCGATGGTGTCGCCTGAGCGGGCCTCGACGTCCTATACACCAAGGAGTATAATAGCGTGAGCCCTACTGATCAATTTGTCAAAAGAAGAGGGGACACAAACCTTGTCCTTCATTTCGCCGTTGCTTCGGGTCCCGACCATATCGACTTCATATCCTTTCCATCGCAACTGGTCGCGCAGGGGTTTGCGGTATCCATTATGAGTCTCCGACAGCAAGCCCCAGGTAATTGAGGCTCCGAGGGGTAGAATCCGCAGCTTCACTTTGTCATCTCTCTTGTCGAGGGTGGAGTTGGAAGCATCGATGTCACCGGTGCTAGGAATGGTGTTTCCATGGGCAGTAGAAATCAAAAACAACCCAAGAAACAGGGTCAAAGAAATGAAATATTTGAATGATAGTGCCATGGTGAGGTGTTGGGGCCAAGATCTTTCGCTGTATCCAAGATGGGCGGAGCACCCAAGACTTAAATAGTTCTTGTATGGGGGGATCCGATCCATTTCACACTAGCCATTTAGTGTAGTTGGGAATGCCGATCCCTATCCGTGGGCTACCGTCGTATTTTTCCGTCGCAACATAAGTATGCATTCAAAGCTTGAGGCTGTGAGCTCTCAGCCATATCGACGAGATGGTGGCCTTATTCTTGGGTGTAGCGCAGGCTGAACAAGTGAAGCTCTATCCAATGGCCATATTCTCCTTGTCATGTTGCAGCATCATCTTCGTCGAGCTGAGCCAGGGGCTGCTTGTGCACATGGGGCCATGTCTTGGCCCCTAGCTTGGCCCCTGGCCTTATACACCTGTCAGGCGTCCCGCCGCAACACTAATACCATGAAGAACACACTGCTAATGCTATAGATTTGAAATGTAACCATAGTATTAAATCCAGGTAAGCTTGCTTATTCACAGCCATTCCAAATGATGGCACTTTTGTAATGTCTGGCCTTATTGCTCAGTCTCATTATAGGAGCCAATCGAACAGTGTACATGGCATACGGTATCTCGGCTTACCTTGTATATTATATATGAACACCAGGAACTCAATTTGAATACGATCTCACCTCGGCTTGCTTGAATTTAACCCTTTTCAGATAAGGATCAGCATATATCTCTTAATTGTGTAGTGAGTGGATATGAACCCTGAATGGCTATTGGCTTATATATTCCTTAAATAACTTGGCTTTGGGGCGCCCCCACAGCTTTCTCCACTATATAAATAGTATTGGCCCCGTATGGATGCTGAGTCCGGTATAATTCGGTATAAAATTTCAAGGGTCCTGCCCATCGCGAGGGAGATCCTTTCGCTTTTTGGTAACAAACACGCTATGCTAAGCATTCTCACATTGTAAGCTTTCCTTCCTAGCCACAGAACGTGATCCTGCAATTAAAATCAATAATAATCTGAAATTACCGCAAACTATGCTGTCATTTCTCCTCAAGTTCTCAATAAATGCAAAAAACAATTCAAGATCATCCCCATCCCTTTAGTATATTTTACTCGCAAGCAATAACATGATTCCCACCAGCCCCTGTATGGGTAATCACGCCCGCCAACTGATCCTGGGCGGTGCTGACGGCATTTTCGGCGTAGCAGACTGTTCCACATGTGTAGGCGCAGGCGCAGAAGGGGTTTGAGGGTGGTGGGAGCGGAGAGGGTGCTTGTAAAGAAGAGGGCGAGGGCGATGTTATTGGCTTCTTTTTTTTGGTAAACCCGGGTGGCTTGTCTTACCCGGTACTGCATCTTATCTGATGAAGCTGGGATCCAGTGGCCTTGAGTTCACGGCCAATGACACAAGTAGACTAGGAAGATCTCGTCGGATGGGGTTGAGAATCAAGAATCTGGTCCTTCTTCTTGGCTCTGACTGTGTCCCTGCCACAGACACAGAGAAAGCGAGATCTACTGGGCTTATATACCCGCGCCAGATAGAACCAAGTCCATCTCCGTCGCAAGCCCGACCAGAAGCCCAAGTATGCCCCCGCTCAGAGAAGCAACAACACAGTCTGCATCGCAATGCTACATCTCGACTTGGTTGCCATCATTGGCCGACAAAGCACTGCAGGACCAAAGCATCACCGGTCATCCCCGATGAGGGATATCCACCAATCAGCAGGTGCAGGTATAGACTGGTGAACAAAAGTACTCATAATCTGTACACAGCCGTTGACTGGAGCAGCTCAAACAGCGTGGAGGATCGAATGGTGGTCGGGTTTCTTCTGGAAAAGCGGATGCTCGGCGCAACGCGAGGATCGACAATCTCCTGGGTCCTTGCCGAGATGTGCCAACATGCAGCCAAGATCGGGGAGTCGGTTATCGGCCTAATAAGGCTCTGCAATGAACACCACGGTGCTATTATGTCAAAGTACTGGCGATGTGGAGGTGTGGAGGTGGAAGATTAGACGATGAGAGTCTGGATATTGAATACACCCACATTAAATGCTTGACTGTACTTAATCAAGGCATTGCTTGATCACGAAGAAATAGTATTATCTATTAGAAGTCTCATGTTCAATCATTTCATGATATAGCCAAAGCTGTAGATGTGGATCACTCCGGCCTCCGACGGAACCGGCGCCAATCGCTTAGTAGTCAGAGTCTACCCAACAACCACCGAAAAAATGCGTGACCACCATACTGTTTTCGGGCGTGACTGTTCCTCCATCTCTGGGTACTCGCGCCTCCCAGTCCAGATATCCATATCCTCCAGCCGGACCAAGCGGGTCTTGTTACAGAACTTGTATACAACCGCAAATAGCGCAAAGACCACCAGCAGAATATAGTTGATCACAAAGTCAGACACGCTGAACGGGCTCAGAAAGCAGGTGTAGCCCTGGAAGAAAACCAGGAAGATGTTGGCTGCCAACGCAAAATATGTGCCCCAGGGATACAGCACCGCTTTGTAGGGGAGTTTCGAGGGATCTTGGCCTTGTGCAACGAGGGCGCGTCGGAAGCGTATATGAGCAACGGTGATGGTAGCCCAGACGATGAAAGTGGCCACTGGAATCAACAATCAGTATGAATCTTCTCAGAGATGATCGTTCCACGGCACATACCTCCAGAAAGGGTTACCAAAGCCTCGAATACTGTTCCTGCACTAGATGACTGCGACAGGAAGACAATGCAGGCAAAAACATTGGTAAAGATCAGAGCCACCCAGGGCACGCCAGCACGATTGGTGCGACCAATGAACTGTGGCGCCTTTCCATTATGTGCCATGAACCGTAGGATGCGGGATCCAACGTATAGTGAGCTGTTGCCTGCCGAGATCACACTCACCACAATCAAGGCGTTGATGAGATGTGCTGCCGGTAGAATCCCGGCGTCAGTCAAGGCAATGGTCAAGGGTGAACTAGCAGTTTTGGAGGCCGAGTCCAGCAGGCGTCTGTCGTTGTACGGCATGAGAATTCCAATGAAGAATATTGTACCTGGGGACCATTAGCAAGTGCTACATCTTTCTTAACCAACAACCCCTTACCAATGTAGAATATCAGAATGCGCCAGAAGACCTGCTTGATTGCCCTCGGCACTGCATGCCGAGGATTTGATGATTCGCCCGCAGTGATTCCAACCCTAGATCATTGTCAATATACCGACAACCTTGCAGGATAGTCAAGAACCCACATTTCAGTGCCTGCATAGAGTGTACCCGCCACGACGAAAGTTTCGGCAACACCATTGATGCCATCTGCAAACGCGCCAGGCTTATCCCAGTACTTGAATCCGATCGTTTGCGGACCAATACCACCAGAGCTGATGCAGATTGCAAGAATGAAAAAGACAATCAGGGCTAGAACTTTGATGCTTGGAAGTATCAGCATATATGTCCTGCAATAGAATAGACGGTGCATACAGAGAGAGCCAGAATTCCATCTCGCCGTATGCCAGAATACCCAGATTCGATAGACCCAGAAACAGCACCCAGAATATAAGGATCCATGCCCACTGGGGTACGGTATCAGTCCAGTATCCAATGACCAGCGAGATTGCGTTGTATTCGTTGGCAAGAACCTATAGTAAACTGTCAGTGAGAGACCTCGAAATTTTTTCCACATCCACGTACCGTCACCCAGAGCCACCAATATGCCCAACCCAGCGCAAATGCAAGAGAATCATCGACAAAACGCTCTGCATACTCGGTAAATGAGCCCGAGACCGGAATAACAGTAGCCATCTCGCCAAGAGATTGCCTGTGTTTATGTATTAGTACCTTTCAAAACCAAATTGAAAGACATATTCATACATAACAAAAAACACAATAATGCCAACCAAGCAAAAGCTGATGAGCGCGCCTGCTGGTCCACCTTGATGTAGCGCATTTCCAGAATTGACAAGCAGCCCAGGACCAATAATGCCTAGAAGTCGAAACATCAGCGAATTTCCTGATCGGCAAATGTCAGATTCAATTTACCCCCAATTGCAATCATCTGCAAATGCCTTGAGCGTAGCTGGCGCTTTAATGGAGCGACCCCGGGATCCTTTGCGGCCTCCTCATCGGGCCGATTGGTGTTCGCCGATCGGAAACTTGTGGTATCGCCATCATTGGGGGCCCGATAAGCAACGGCATTGTAATCGAGTTTGTCTGTCATCGGAGCAACCAGTGTTGGGTTTTTTTTCTTCTAGAAAGACCGTGCAATTCAGCAGAAATTTCTGTCATGCGACGCGGAGGCATCTGCGGGGATGTTCATTTGTCGGTGATGTCGTGATAATCGGGCGGAGCATAACATGTGGGCCTCGAGATAACTGCAGACTTTCGTGGGATAAATGCCAGTGACTCAGATCGTTGGCCTTCAACATCCGGTTTCTGTTCCCCAACATTATCATCACAGTCACTGGATCTGGCAGTCCAAATGGTAAAGTGGAAAAGGGATATACATCCAAAGTATATCATCCATCTCAACCAAGGGAGCATCCAAAGCCCCAAGAAAAGAAACACAAACCACTCATCCAAAACATAATCAAGAGACTGCTCAATGTAGACACGAGTGACTCAGTCCGATGGTTTTCAGCATGGCCTTGGAAGGCTTAGACTTCGCCTATCTCATCGTCACTCGGTCCGTCAGTCCAACTCGCAAAGTAGAAGAAACTGACCCCCCCAGGGCATCCAAAACGTCTAAAGCAGATCATCCAAATGATCCAAAACAATCCAAGCACCACGAAAAGAAACAAAATTAAGAAGCTGCCCCGACGTAGATGCCAGTGACTCAGACATCCGCCTGTATCTTCAGCACAATGTTCAGAAGCCACTTCCAATCATCGTCGTCACTGGCATCCAACCCGACATAGACGGAGTAGAAATAGACCGGCACAGAAAAAACAGAAGAGGAAAAGAGCAGAGGAAACATGCCAATCACCCCTCGAGCTCAAGGACTGTCCTGAGTGAACCCCGACCAGGTTTCGGGGTGCACGACAAGACACTGACATAACAAATGGACAAGGATAACACCAAAATAGATCAAACCAAAGCCAAGAGTCCATCAGCGGGTAAGGAAGGATGTGGGGGTGTGGAGAAAGGAAGACATGTCTTGGCAGATGGAAATAGTTATACCTGATGCCTCCAGGTCGAATCGCGCTAGTGATAAGCGAGCTCTTAGCTTGTTCGTGCTGGGCCAATGGGGTGCGAAGGCCGGGGGTGTCACCTGGTGTGTTACGGGGGATGCGTCGAAATAAGAAACGTGGGGAACGCGCGGGGGAAGCCTGAGGTGGACGTGGTGATGTGGATTTCCGAATTAGGAATTTGTGAGGTTATAGTTTATGATTATGCAGGGCCCCCTGGCTCGGGGACTTGGCACTGCGGGAATGGTGGTGGATCCAGGTGGGGGTGGACTCAATTTAGGCCGGGGAATTGTATATCATTTAATATAGGGTTGGGTTGATTGCTATATCGATGACTGCAGCATAGTGTAGCTACAAAGATCGTTCAAGGACAGTGCAATACGTTAGATGAAATACTGGTGCGGCTGGAGGGTGTGTGCATCAGCAAAGCCAACTCATAGGCTTGACTTGATTATTTTCCTGGTGGAAAAGAAAAACAACAAGTCCTCTTCATTTCTATTTGCGGTCTCTTTTGCAATATCTATTTCTGACATCCTCTCTCTCGCTCGTTTACCCTCAGTCTTGACCACTAAAGATGGTCTGTGAACATGCCGTTCAGCATGGATCTCCCGGTCGGCGACAGCGGTGCGACAGCTTGTCAATAAAGGTCTGTCCCCATTTCGCACTACAGAGAAATGGTTAGCTCTACTGACGTGGAATTCTTCTCTGTAGCCACAGGGGAGTCAGAGAGCCCTACCTGGTGTTCGTGTTGACAAAGTCCCGCAGATACTCATACTTGCGCTTCCGCTCTTCTTTGTCCAAATTCAGTGCCCGGTAGATGGCCTCGGACATTTCAGTTTTGTTGGCGGGGTGGAATGGAATACTCCCCTCGCGCATGAACGAGGCAGCTCCGGCAAACTCGGATAGGACCAGCACTCCGTGTTTCTTTTCCTGGCAGGCCACATATTCGAACGACACCAGGTTCATACCATCGCGGGTGGAGGTCAGCAGACACACGTCGGCGACGGCGTACAGCGCGGTCAGCTCGGTGAATGGGACCGAGCGGTGCATATAGAGTAGCGGTGTGCCCTCCGGGGTTGCTAGAATGGTCAGTGATTTCCCGGCAGCTTCCTTTCAAGTTGCTAGAGCACCTACCATGCTTGCCATTGATCTTACCTGCCATCGTGCTAAGTTCTGTTTCTAGCTCCTGATACTCCTTAACATCCTCCCGGCTAGGCACGGCCACCTGGAACAACACAATCTTGTTACGCAGATCCGGGTTATCGTCCAAGAACGCATCAAACCCTTTCAGCTTCTGCGTGAGGCCCTTGATATGGTCCAGGCGGTCAACGCCCACAATCACCTTGACACCCCGGTATCGCTCTTGCAGGGTCTTGATGCGATCCTGGACCTCGGGCTTTTGAAGGGTGTCGGTGAATTTCTGGGGGTCAATCCCGACGATGAACTTATCCGTACAGACCAGCCGGTTCTTATACTCGATTTGATTTGGGATTTGGGTGCGGGCCCCGCTAATGAACCTGTTAGTTTGTATATCCCCTGGGCAAATTCGTTGCAGAGTACATTTCACTCACAGCAGACTGGCACAGGTATCAATAAAGTTTTGTTTATATTCGTCCGTGTGGAATCCGAGCAGGTCGCTTGACAATAGCCCCTCAATCAGATGCTTGCGCACAGGGAGATTTCTCCAGAAGTCGCCTGCCGGGAACGGAGTGTGGAGAGAGAATCCGATGGCACATGCTTTGCCCTGCTGCCTCAGCCTCTCACGCAGGAGCTCAGGCAGGAGCATTAGATGATAGTCGTGCACCCAGATCAGTGTTCCACCATCGGCAGCATCGGCAATCGCGTCGGCGAACAGCTCGTTGACCCGCCGGTAGGCCTGCCATGGACCATCATCAAAGGTGACGCCAGACTGATAGTGGAGGATTGGCCAGAGAATGCGGTCTGGACTGGTCAGGTATTGGAATTTGATAGCAACCAAACCAAACAGAAATAAGAACAGAAGCTAGCAAATTAAACTTACTAGAAAACCCGTTATAGTGCTCATGTGCCAATCCACTATCGAGGAAAATTGGGATCGCGTTGTGCTCGCCCAGGCTCTTGCATACTTCCTCCCGATCCTTGGTATCTTTGACTTCGATCCCTGGCCAGCCGAACCATTGGAACTGCGTCGACTTGGTCAGCCCAGACAAGGATGTGACGAGGCCTCCGCTAGACAGCGATGACTCAAAGGCACCATCAACCCGCTTGACGGATAAAGGAAGCCGGTTAGAGACGATGATGAGGTTGCGTTTGTCTTCTGAGCCCATACTGCTGTGCTACTCGATCAATGTGTAACGGGGCTATTTCGGGTCTGGGTGATCGTTTAGGGCAGCAATTTCTGAATGGAATACTGAGATCAAACGAATATGTTCTGTGTTTCAAGGAACAGCTAGAGCCACGCAAGCTGCGCTGCTGTCGCCTCTTGCCGCAGACATGGCCACTTCGACGTCAGCATGAACATGCCAAGATATTTCGAACGCCTCTTTGCAGCTCTGGTGGAATATACTGTTTCCACTGATTCTCCAGTTTCAAATGAAAATCACTTGTGTTTTCCATGGGGTTGTTCGCTGATAGCAGCAAACAATATCTCACAAACAAGCCTCGGTACACTTCGAAGACAGTGACTATCAAAAAAAAAAAAAAAAAAAAAAAATATCTACTTAAGATAGGTTAATTTTAAGTATATAATTTTTTTATTCTATCTATACCAAGATATTATATCTCTAGGTGTCTATTTTCTGCCTAAGTGGCGGCTCTCTACTTCAATGAAGAGAGGTTTCATCATAGCCATGTCAGTCATCAACACGAGCTGCAGTAGCTCAGACACTACTCTTTTTGCTCCTAGCATTCTGAAGCCATTTGACCGTAATAAAACAGCTCAGTCCCGCCGCATAAGCACACCCTGCAAATGCAATTAACCCCCAGTACTTGCCACGACACCGATGGATGATCTCGCCGGCAATCGGGACACCCGTCAGAGCCCTACATTCATTAGTCAGTTGCCACAAAAGCAGGAGGGGAAGAGAGGACTTACCCGAAGCTGACAATGGTATACACAGTTGTATAATACCGCCCATAATTCTCGACAGGACACAGCTCGCCCACGCAAACAGGAACCAGACTAATATTGCTACCGCTGCCGAACCCAAACACCACCGAGAAAATCACCGTCGCTACGATGTTTCCGTTGGCAGGCATCCAGATCCCCAAGACGGAAATCAGACAGAGAACATTCGTCAAGATCAGCGTGTTGAACCGCCCGATGCGGTCCGCCAGAATGCCCGGCAGCCAGCGGCCAGGAAAGGAGCCCGCATTGAGAAACACCACCATCTGGAACGCGAGCCGGTGCGAGATCCCACTTGCAAGAGCGTACGAGGCAATATACTCGAGCGGGATGAAGAACCCCCATTCGATGAAGAACACACCCAGTGTGGTGAGTGCCAGAACGGGTTCAGCGAGGATCGTGAGATCGGGCAGGAAGACCTTAGCCGACGGCGGCGAAACAGGCGGTTTGGAGGGGATATCGAGCCGGACGAGCAAGCAACCAAGAACCAGCAGTACCAGCGTGACTAGCCCTACAATGCGAGTTGCCCAGGCAAACCCCAGCCGCGGCGCCAGAGTCTCCAGAACCAGCGGGAAGACCACGCCGCCGAGACTACCACCAGACATGGCAAGGCCCGTAGCCGCGCCGCGCCGCCGACAGAAGTAGTGGCCGATAGTTGCGACGGGGACAATGAAAATAAACGACGTGCCCATCCCGCCCAGGATCCCAATCACCACGAGGAAATGCCAGTATGCGCGACAGAACCCCATTAACACGAAGGTGAGGACGAGCAAACTGGACCCCAACCACATGAGCAGGCGCGGCCCGCGCACGTCGAAGATCGGTCCGATCTGGATGCCGCAGAAGAAGACCAGGAAGTTGTATAGGCCGAAGATCCACCCGATTTGGCCTTCGCTGATGGTCGACAGTTGGTGAGTTGCGATCCATGCTTGGTAGACGCCAATGCTGTTCATCAGTCCTAGTCCTCCCATGATGGCGCTGAAACTGCCCAGGACCACTAGATTGGCTGCACGGCCTCCTTCTGGGTAGGAGGAGTGTGTGTCGAGTTTAGGTTCATGGTGCATCCTGGACTGATGTTATGGTTGATATTGCGGATTGGGTGGTCTATAGTCGTAGGTACAAGCAAGTAACTATAGGATCCAAGGCCTCATATAGCTGCAATCATCATTCAATCTCTGCATGCAAAATTTTCACTATCATATAGTCTGTTGGTCTTCGGGATCGGCTCGGCCATCTGCTAGATCTATCTCGAAACATGCAGAACACACATGGCCGAGCACCGAGGAACAACAGACCAGAAACCCATACTTTTAGAAATTTCACTAGGCATTGCTCGACAAATGAATCTTCTACAAAATAGCAGGCCAAGTCTGGTTCAAAATTCTCGGCCAACTCTGCGGCGAACCTGCCAAGCCTCAGCCGCCGAAGCTGCTCGGCCACCGGTGAGTATCCATCGGCCGAGCAAGGGTCGGCAGAGTTCACGAACCGATACATTTTCTACTTACTGTAGCTTGTAGCTGGAACCAATCACATAGAATGCTGATTTCTGGACCTGGTGATATAGAACAGAATGAATTGACTGGCTATGTAGGGTTATAACAAGGAGAAATAATGCCAGATGAGAAACCCTAGGATCAAGTCCAGGGAACAGCAATGAGACGACAGCCACAGTGGCCGAAACCAGCCATGGAGAAGATGAAAAGAAAGAAAGGGTAAAAGAAGGCAAAAGAAAATACAAGAATCGAAAGAAAACACCATGAAAATGGTAAACATATGCTGAAAAGAAACACCGACCTGCAATCAAATTCCCATCCCATGTCCGCCGTAGTGATGCTGCCAGGACCCAATTGAAAAAAAAAAAAAAAAAAAAAAAAATCGAAGACGCCAGACCAAACCTCCAATTGCAAACTAAGCGAACTTGCGGCCCCGCTTAGACGGACTCGGGGTCCGAAGGTGGTTCTCGCGGTCACGGCTGCGTTCGGTGACAAAGTCCATCGGCCGGGTGTTTTCGAGCATTAATGGTGCATCTCGCTTCTCTCCATAGCCAACAACGGCAGTTTGCCGAGGGTCCTGTTGGCCGTAATAGCCGAAGGAAGGATTGTGCTGCAGCTGCAGGGGCTGGGCATGCATGGATGCATCATGGCCGGAGGGTTGTCGGGAGAAGTTATGGGCGTTTTGCGAGTAGTCTTGTTGACTAAGACGGTTTCTAAATGAGCGGAAAGACCAGTTGCTGACGACGGTCACGGTCGACATGGTTGCCAGGAAGAACATCTAGAAAATGTTAGAAGAAATCGCAAGTAAACAGTCACACCACTCACAATGGCCTTCCAGCTAATAGGGTCGATGAAACTATTGATAATGATAGCCATAGTATGCGCCGACACCTTGGCTCGGCCAACCTTGGCCGGGTCGCGGTTCATGCATCGTTCCCAGTTCTCGCACACCGTCTCCAGGGCGGGCAGCCGGTCTCCTCCGGCGCATTTGTTGTCCACGTAGCTCTTGGCGCAAGTCGCCATCTCTGCCAGGATGGTGTCCGACACCTCTTCGGCAGCCTGGTCAAACTCCGACCGAATGGCCGACACAAACCCGAACACCACATACACGGCAAGAGAAAACAGGGACAAGTTCACCACCAGCTGTGCCCACCATGACAGAATCCCGGGTACGTTGGGATGTGCTTCAAGCAGAGCAAAGAACTCAGAGAACGACGATACGCGCGATGCCTGCGATTTCGCATTCTGTCCCGTTTTCTCTGCAGCGGCCTTGCCAGTCTGCCCCTCACTGCAACTAGGCCGATCACTCTCGTCGTCGCTGTCGTGACGGATGTGCCGGCCGAGCTCCCGATCCCGTCGTCGTTTCTTCTGTACCCGGCGAGCCAGGGCACCCGAGTAGTGGTTCATCCGCGGGATCTCTCCTCGTCCCGGGCTCGGTGCAAAGCGGCCGTAGAGATTAAACAGGGAATTGCGCTTCCCGCCCTTGGACGGCTGCTCGGGGGTGTCTTCGTTGTCTGCGTTTTCGGGCGACGACATATTTTCCGCACCGGACGAGAAGTCGAGCTCCAATTTCCGGGGTGTCATGAAAGCCGGCTGGCCAAACACTGATTTGGGAGACGGCGGCGCGGGCTGCGGCCGCGGCTGGGAGAAGAGGAAGGGCTGCGAGTTGGGCGCGCGGAGACCTGGTAAGGGCTTCTTGTCGGGGGAGTCGAATGCGCTATGTGTGCCTATGCGATGGTCTCCGAGGTTAGCCAGAAGGAACTAGGTATCGTCTCGAGTTTTCAATGATCCAGGCTCACGCTTCTTGTTCTCGTGCTGCATGCTGAGCTGGTAAAAGGGTGACGTGATATCGCCGGGCGCAGTGGTCTGCCATTCAAAGTCCATCGGACTCTCTCCAGAGCGCTTATTCATGACGAGGACAGTGCAATGTGGCGGAGGGGATGGAAAGCGGGAAGGTTTTGTTTGGGGTAAACATCGGCGGAGCAACCACATGTGTCAGCAATGGATGCCTCCGCGCTGAGGAACCCAGAAGTATACAGATATTCCCTGTGACTATCCTTTTTCTTGTTATTATTTAAAAAGATTTTTATATTTGGAAACATCCTTCAATGAACTAGCAGGTTGGTATGAAATATTATTGAAGTGCAATGGATGTCCTCAAACTGTGTGAGAAAGCGCTGGTAATTACCGAGGTATATAACTCGATCGATATTTTGTTTATTTCCTCGGATTTTAAATACATTTAGCTTATTCATGATTAGATGAAGACCCAGTAACCTTTAGCTCGGCGTAAGCATCTACTTAGTATGTGGCATAGACTGCAATACATGCCGTAGATTAACTCATCAACCAAAGGCCATCTATGGACAGTAAACTGATCTATGTTGGGTGTCCAGCACCCATAACATGGTATATCACACAAGTCCCCCAGCAGCAGCGCTTAAAAGAGATACTTTTACTCATCCATCTGCCACTGATAATCCAGCGCCTCGTTGCGACCCTTGCGATTTCTCGCCGCAAACCACTCCTTCTCAAACCCATTGGCACGATCCACTCCATCCCAGCGATGCCCAGGCCGAATACCATACCGATTAGGCTGGAAAGCGCCCTGATATAACGGCTTGCCTGTCACGCTCGCCCCGGGACCCGAAGATTTAGTCAGGAACCCAGCAGCGGGGTCATTCCAGCGCTGGCGGGCCTTGAGCTCCTCGTTAAGAGAATCGTCCTCGATCGTGCGCGCCACAGGCATAATCTTTGCTTCCTGCAACTCCTGCTTGCGGGACTCACGCTGCTGGCGCTGGACATCGCCCATGAGTGCCTCGCGTGCGCGCGCCTCCTTTTCGCGCTCTTCTTCCTCGGCGCGCCGCGCCTCGGCCCGTTTCATCGCCACGTTGATGATCCGCCCGGACGCATCTCGGTAGATCGTCTCCTGGGCCTGTGCGTCCGAGGATGCCGGGTCGCGGTACAGCGCCGCATCGGCTTTACGTCGCCGCTCCTGTGCTTTCACCATTGCCGCCGTTTGCTCTGCGGTTTGCAGTCCTGCCCGCGCCCCGGACTCCATCCGCGGGCCCTCGTCCACCTCCTCGCCCTCAATCACCGGTGCATCGCCATCGTCGTCTGCATCACGCTGTGCGGCTCGCTCCGCTGCTGCGGACGCCAGGATCGCATCGGCCGCGTCTTGTTCGCTCCCCGGCGCCGGTCCCCCGACGGTCTTCCAGGACGATTTCTTGGCTCGACGGAACTCGGCACTTTTCGTTGTGTTGTCGATGAATGGACGGTCCTCATCATCCTGGGATGATTGTGTATGTGCTGAGCGCAGATCCGGAGGGTCGTCATCGGCGATGATGAGGCCCGAGCCTGCGGTGTCGGTGGCTTTAGTCTTCTTGCGCTTCTTCTTCGGTCGCTCCGTTGCTGAATCGGCTGTGAGGTAGTTCTTCGCCAGGTACTCGGCAAGTGATCCCGGCATGGTCTCGACTGTGGTCTTGGGAAAGTTGTGACTGTAAACGAGAGAAGAGTGCTTGCTGGAAAATGGGACTTATCGATAGATAGTCGGGGTATCTTTGTTCCGAACTGTATCCCGCCTCGCGTGTTTGGGTTTCTGGAGAACTCGCGTTTCTCACAAATCTGGTGTTTTCAGACTTGGTGATGTGACATCCAAATATTGTACTGCACCATGCCTCGCTCCGAAGAAGCAGAGTGGTGGACCAATGCCGTCTACGCAGCCGTCCAAGAGATCCCCCCTGGCCAAGTCACCACCTACGGTTACATTGCATTTTTATTGGGTGAACGTATGATAATCTCTATTTTGCCTCAACACTCACATACCAATTGTGTGGTACTGATCTACTCCGTTTCTAATAGCGCAGCGTGGCCGCCAAGTGGGAATGTCCTTGAAAGCTCTCCCGGCCCCCGAGTCGGGCCTCCATTTCACTTCACAAAGCGTGCCCTGGCAGCGGGTAATTAATGCCAAGGGAATGATTTCACACCGGTGTGTTGTTTCTTCAGTCTTTAATTCCTGTCCGAGTTCTATCATTCTTCTCTCCAAGGCTTCTTTCATGGCTGATTTTGGATATGCGCAGTGAGCCTGGTGGTGCAACCCGTCAGGCAGACGCTCTCCGGCTGGAAGGTGTCGAGGTAACTATCGACAATATGGGTGAGATGCATGTTAGTTTTCCGCAGTATGGATGGTTTCCAAAGCGGTTGCCTAGTGAGGAGGTCGATGACGGGTTGAAGCTAGATTAAGTTCCCAGGCGCAAGGTTGGAAGACATACAAGCAAGCAGAAGTCATTTAAAGACCGAATCCATATATTGAGCCAACGTTTCTGGCACAGGGTCTAACAGGGATGAATTCGCCGATCAAACCACAAAGACCCAGCCAATCCGATCAGAGGCACAGAGACAGTAAATAAGAGACAAGAGTCTATTGGGAAAAGTAGGGAAGGCGGGAAGAACAGGAGGAAAAGGTGGAGAGTGTAAGAAGGGCGAAATAAGGTGAAGGGCATAGGGTACGGGCATCATATCGAAGGAAAACACCCCCATCCAACCAACTATCAACAAGGGACCCCAAAAAAAAAGAAAGTAGAACACAAATCAAGACATGAAACCAGCCAGAATAATCCCGTAAGTGGAAAAGGAAAAGAGAAAGAGAAAGAAAGATCGTTAACTCATGTCGAGACGAGTCCAGGAAAAATCTAGCGAACTGCCTCGTCCAGGGCTCTCAAAGAGACGAATAGAACATTGCAACTCCCAAACGGCGCTCTCATCGTCTTTTGACTTCGGTGGCCCACCCCTCGATACCTTCCCCACGACTTCCTGGCACAATTCCCAGCTCGATCCCGTCCATTCCCGGAGTCTCCTTCATCCATTCGTGGGACGCCATACCACCGGCGTTGGCGCGCCGCTCTGGGGAAAGATCCAGCATGGGCAGAAGGAACTCGCTGGTGCGCATGCTCTCCTCCATCGAGTAGTGGTATTTTTCTCGCATAACATCGGGCAATGCCCAGTGGCGAAGCCGGTGGATATTCCGCAGCTCACCTTTGCGGTTAAAGATCTCCTGGGACCATTTCCCGGACAGACACAGCGATTTGGGAAATGGGCCGAGCAACTCGATAATCTGTGCAATATGGTCATCGTCTTTGCCGTACTTGGTGCCCGATTGAGGATCGAAAAGGTAGTCTCCGGTGATAAGTTCGAAGATCTGAAGTAGGGTTAGAGACATTATATCGGAGGGTCTGATCGCATAACATACCATGCACGCCATACTCCACACGTCGGTACTGGCACCCCATTTCGCTCCCAGGATGACTTCGGGAGATCGGTATTGCCGTGTCTGGATATCGTTGGTGAAATGATGACCGACCCAGCACGCGTTACCCAAATCGGCGATCTTCACGGAAATAATGTTGGCATAGATCTCCTCCTCCAGCGATTTGGTCGAAGAGTCCTTGTCGAGAGAGATACCAGACACCTCTCTCTCCAGGAGATCGCTGCACAGGTTAGTCTCGGTCTGTTTCGGGGTTATATGCATACAATAACCACGTACGCTGTCTTCTCTCGTTGCTTCTGTTTGTCGTCCTCTTCCTTGACGCCCAGGGTCTCCTTCATCGATGGCGCCTCTGCTGAGGATGTTACTATGCGCCGGTCAGTCAATTCTGCCGATTCAAAGACTCCCAGTCATCAACCACTCACCTGTCGTCTCGTTGACCATCTGACTAAGACTGCTGTGGGAGTTGGACGAGCTGTGCTTGAAGTCGAAACTGCTGAAGCTGGTGTTCAACGGACTGGGGAGCGGCTGGCTCCCCGTGATCAACGTCCGCCGTCGTCTCCGGCCATTCCGGTTATCCTCCTTGTTTTCTTTCTTCGATTCTTCTTGGACATGGGCTTTGACAATCTGCTCCACATCGCCGATCTCAATCAACACGTTCTCCGGCTTCAGATCCGTGTGGATGATCCCGCACTCGCGATGAAGATAGTCGAGCCCCAGCAGCACCTGTTTGGTGATCTGCTTCACCAACGGCATCGGAATGCCCCGGTGGTTCCACCGCTTAATCAATCCCAGTAAATTCTCGCCCAACACCTCGAACACCATGCACACATGGACCCCGTTGGGTCCTTTGTGCTCGAACGAGTCCAGCAGACTCACGACATGTTTCCGACCCGGGTGGGATGGCTTGGCTTGGACGATGCGACTGAGCAATTTGATTTCATCGATGGCGGTTTCAGTGTAGTGGGCAGCGGAACGAACCACTTTCAGTGCGACGTGCTTTCCGGTGGTGGTATCCCTCGACAGCCAGACTGTGGAGAAGTGACCCCAGCCCAGCTTGCGCACAACAACATAGCGCCCATTGTTGTATGTTTCCCCGACAGCGACCGGGTGATACCCACCCTTGCAGTAGTCCTCTGAGTCTTCCTCCTCGGCTGTAGTTTCCAGTTCATCGCCAGACGATGAAGACGGTGAACGCGATGCCACAGTGGGTTTAGGGTTTGTCGGAGGCGCAGCACCGCTTCTGATAATAAACTTGGGTTAGATGCTCGAGTCCACAGCTCCCAGATCATCAACACATACGATTCAGTGGCGGCTTCGCCGGGCGCGGGATTCCCTTCGTTGGTGACGATAGGCTTCAAATCCGTCCCTTTTCTCCTCTTCTTTCCACCGTTGCCATTGGCAGCTGATGCTGCGACATTTGCCATCTGCTTTCCTTTGTTGAACATTGCCTTGGTAAGATCAACTCCCTCCATGTTGTGGAGCAGGTGTTGGGGGGGGAAGGCAGCTGAGAGGCGGGGCACACGAATGTCAGTTGGAAAGAGGCGGGCGGTGCGCGGATGGACCACACCGAGGAACGGAACACACTGGAAAACCGAGAGAGAGAGAGAGAGAGATGACGGAGAATAAAACAACGAAAAGAGGACGATGAATAGACACAGATTGAAGAATAAAATCAGAGAAAGTGATTGGCCAAGGAACAAGTCGACATCAAAAATGATCAAGTTGGGGGGGGGTCCGCAAGCAGCCAAGTCACAGTGGCGAACTTGTCGCATCAGGCACAAGAAGGTGTCGATCAGATGGACATTTGGATCGGAGATCTATGGTGGATTGACTGGGGATTCTGTGCTGGGTTGGTCAAGGAGTGGGTTGGAATAGTGACAGAGATATCTAGTCTATAGCCAAGGCATACACAAGATACACAAGACACGGGTTGTAGGAATATGCCATAAAAACAAGCCATATCAACCTCGAATTCACCTCGGCATACGGTGGCTGATCGGAATGCCTACCCACACTTGGCCCTGATGTCACTTGGTCTTTTTTTCTCCGCTCAGCTGAGGTATGCCGAGTCTCGCTCCTTTCTCCCTCACATATCTCTCCACATCATGGTCAGCCCCTTTGATCGTCGCCCTTTGCCTGACTACTTTATCTCTTCTCCTCTGGTCGCCCTCCTCTACCCGCTTCATCAGCTGCTCCTCCGTCTCCGTGGACCTCCCCGACTCGCACCGCCCGATGCCCTTCGTGTCGTCTGCATCTCCGACACGCATACCCTCGAATGGCCTGATATACCCGATGGGGACCTTCTCATCCACGCGGGTGACCTCTCCAATGATGGCTCGGTGCGCGAGATCCAAACCACGGTGAACTGGCTCCGAAGCCTGCCACACCGACACAAGGTCGTGATTTGCGGGAACCACGACGGCTACTTCGATGTGCGTTCGCGCTGCGCCGAAGACCGCGACGACCCCTCGTCGACGAACTCCTCCTTTGCGGCCGTCTCGTCCTCCACGGCGTCCATCCACTCGCTCAACGAGCTCAACGCCGCATCCCGCATTGACTGGGGCGACATCCACTATCTGCAACACTCGGCCGTGACCCTGACCTTCCCTCCGCCCGAGTCCTCGTCGTCCTCCACCACAGCCCTGACCAGCGCCCGTCCCCGCTCCCTCAACATCTACGGCGCGCCCCAGATCCCTGCCATCGTGCCTCTCGGCCCGGAACATGCCTTCCCCTACCCGGCACACCACGACGCCTGGTCGCGCACCGTGCCCCCGGAAACCGATATCTTGATCACGCACACGCCGCCGCAGTCGCACCTCGACCTCTCGCCCGTGTTTTCGACCGGCTGTCCCAACCTTCTGGCCGAGGCCTGGCGCGTGCGGCCCGCGCTGCACGTCTTCGGCCACATCCACGAATCCGCCGGCCAGGAACCCGTCTTCTGGGACGAGGCCCAACGCGCCTGGGAGCGGCTGTGCACTGCGCGCCGCCCGCGCGCCCAGTATAGTCGTCTGGCTTCTTTGCCGGGCTTCCTGCGCGATCTCTTTGATCTGCCCGGCTGGCTGGACGTCGCCCGCGTCGTGGCCTATGGTGTCTTGGGCGTCGTGTGGGCGCGGATCTGGGGCGGCGAGAACCGCAGCGGTGGCTGGATGGTCAATGCCGCTTGCATGTACCGTGCTAGTGGCCGGCTGGGGAACCCCCTCAGGTTTTCCAGCTATGATTTTTCTTTTTCTTCTTTCCCTCTTTATTCCATCTCATCTTCATTTTGATGCTAGCGTGCATGGCGTCTTTTCGACCTAGTTTAGGCAACAGGCATCTAAGGGCTCGCTGATCGAGAGGATAATTGTTAGCCATGTAAATATAAATTGAATAATATGTATTAAATTGAATCATGGGAAATCATAATAGAAGTATGGGGTGGAAGGACGGTGGAGCGGTCGATATATATTCGGGGAGCCCTAGCTTCAAACGAGCATTTCGGCTATTATTTCCCCAATACTTATATACAAAATAATAGATGTACTGGAAATAAAGCAAAGTTTTGAGTACATTTTGATGTAGAAGAGAGCTATAACCTGATGTCTGAAATACTCTCAAGCTTAGCAATGCAGATATCGCATTTCTAACCAGAAGAGTGCTGTAGCGGCTAAGGTATTCTATGATGGTGAAACTGATGCTAATGCTCAGTATAGTGATACACAGTACAATGGCATGGGTATATATATATATGTATCAGCACGGCCAACGTGCCAGTAAAACTAATAAAATGACATGCAAGCCAGACACGTTTCAAAAGAGTCACAGCTTGGACTTCTCGTTGAAGCGCGGAGCCTCGAGTGGGTCATACGCACGCAGGCCCAGAGTATCAGATGGCACGGCGCCAGAGTGGCCGCCCAGAAGGCCGCGGGTATCGAGCAAGCTAGGGTTGAGATCCTGGATGCGGGTAGCGCCGATAAGACGCATGTTCATCTCCATTTCATCCTTGAGCAGCTGCATGGCGCGATCAACGCCGGGCAGGCCATAGGCCGACATGGCATACAGAAACGGGCGGCCAATGCCGACGCCCGTGGCGCCAAGACACAGTGCCTTGAGGATATCAGTGGCGCGGCGCACGCCGCCGTCGACAAAGACCTCGATGCGATTCTCCCAGCCGCGCTCGCGCAGCGCCGGCATCACCTCGGCCAGCACCTCGATGCCCGAGCGGGCGGTCTCGAGCTGGCGGCCGCCGTGGTTGGAGAGCACGACGCCGTCGACGCCGGCCTCGACGGCACGCAGCACGTCCTCGACGCACTGCACGCCCTTGAGCACGATCGGCATGCGCGTGATCGTCCGGAACCACGGGATATCCTTCCACGACAGCGCCGGGTCGATGAACGATGAGATCGCCCGCGCCGCCCCCTGTGAACGGTCCACGTCGTCGCCGCCCGTCGCCTGCACGCTTGACCCTGTGTCCGAGAACTTTGACCGCATGTCCTTCTCGCGCCGGCCCAGCTGCGGCGCGTCCACTGTGATGAATAGCCCCTTGCACCCGCGCTGTTCGGCGTGCGCTACGATCCGTCGTGTGATTTCTCGGTCTTTGTTCACGTACAGCTGCAGCCACTGGACCTGGTCGCCCTGGCGTGCGTCCACGATCTCGTCGAATGAGCACGACGCTAGCGTCGGGATCATCTGGACCACCTCGTGCTGATGCGCGGCTTTGGTCAGGACCACCTCGCCCTCCGGGTGGCCGAGCTTCCCGAGCGCCGTTGCCGTCACGTAGAATGGGATCGACACTTTGCTGCCCAGCATCGTCGTGCTCAGATCAACGTTCTCGACATCCACGAGGACCCGGGGTCGGAACCAGATCTTGTGGAACGCTGCGTGGTTCTCTCGCATGGTCTGGGGTTCAATGGTGTTAGTTTTGTTGCTCAAGGTGCTGAATATGTCGACCCTCAAATGCACACAAATAACGCTTACAATTTCATCGTCCGCCCCGCTGGAGTAGTATGCCCACGCCGTCTTCTTCATCACCTGCCGCGCCACCGCCTCAAAGTCCATGAGATTGTAGCAGGCCGCCAGCGGCGGCATCCGCTGAAGCCGCTCCTGGCGCGCCGCTTCCTCGGGGTCAAAGGCCTTCTCCTCCTGCTCGACAGTCGTCATATCCACCTCGCCGAGGTGCTTGGAGGTGTCGAGGTACTTGTCGAGTGTGTCGGGCGGGTGAATGGGATCGAACTCCTCGGTCGCATCTTTGCCGGCATACTTGAGAATGATTTTTTGGCCACCAGGGTGTTCTGAACGGATTAGAAAAAAAAGAAGTCCCAGTTATCATGAAGAGGATCATCCAACCTGGCAGGAATTCTGTCACGTCGTAGGCCTTGCTGTGTACAATCACCCAACATGAATCCTTGGAGTTGTGCTCGGCGACAGCAGCGCCGGTGAGCTTGCCTTGGCTCATTGTGGAATTGAGAGCGCTAAGGGGGTTGCTATCGCATAGAGACAGAGGGAGACAATGGGGAAGGATTTGAGGTTGGAGATTGAAGATTGAAGATTGAAAAAAGGTGCCTCGGGTTAATGGAGTCCGGGGAGGATCCAGAGTTGCGGGGGGTCTCTCGGCCGACTCGACTCGGGGATTACGCCATGGTCTCTCTAGTGAAGAGTGAAGATTATAGACTGTGAAATTTAATAGAATATACATAAAGGGTAAATTATATGTGACTTGTTACTCTCGTTCTCAGCTGTGATTATCTATGAATTGACGGCCCAAGTGTTCATGGCAAGATGCCTCGGCATGATGATGCTGGGGCGACTAACCACTCAGAACAGCCGCCTCACACTATGCCCTAAAAAACGGCCAAGACACGGATGTATATTTATGGATTGTTCATTTGGCATTCTGCTTGCGTGGACTGCGATCGGAGGCATGCATCTACCTGACTCGGCCATGCGCTCGGAATGAGGCATGCCTCGAAGCACCGAAGAAGGGCGCTGGAATGCGTCGAGGGAAAGCGGGGCGAACAACTCATAGAAGCATGGAAGGCGAAGCGAGTGCATGTCTGAAGCCGGGTATATTCACGTGATGCAATACATACATCCCATGATGTGATCTGGTGTACTTCGTGGCCAATACGCAGACTTGGACCATGGAAACTTGCAGATCATGTACATTCTTTGACCCATTCTGTGAGCTTGAATTTTGTGTTTTGTAGACACAAAAATGACACAACATGACTAATCGCTATTGTTGTACTGTATGATACTGCCGAACATCATAACCAGCACATGTTGTATATTACTGTAAGCTTCACTAGACTAGCTTACTGGTAGTTGTGAAGCTTTAGATCACATCTGAGGTGTTATACTTGAAATACAGACATGTTTGATTTGATAAAAGAAGGAATCAAGTTTGTTGGAAGTCGACAACGCTGTCGAGTACACCATGTTGAATGGTTGCATATTCTCAAAGTAGACTAAGAATAGCCATGTTGAATGGTGTCCAAAAGAAACGCAAAAAAAAAAATTGGGAGCACCACACAAGGGGGCCTGTAACACCCTTAGTAGTCATCTCCGCGACTGATCACTTCCTTGCCCGACTCGCGCAGCAAGATAGTCTGGGGAGAATTAGCCCTGTAAACTCTTAATCAGAAGTAGAAAAACATACATGTTCAAACTGCGCCGAGAATGACCCTTTAGTGTCCATCAAAGGTGGATAAACCTCCACAAGACCCTGAGATTCAAGGTTGTTCATCTGTCGACATGAGTATACTCCTCAACTTGAAGATGGAAGATGCAAGATACTTACCGCAGCCAGATAACGATTAACGCCAAGCCGTTCAAGGTAGCGACGGCAGAAGACCAGCGACCCGAAATTCTCATTGATGGTCTTGTACAAAGACCGGGCCGTGGCGAGATGCGAGGACACCTTTTTAGGTGCGAATGGGTCTCTTCCATACCCATAGACACCAGGCTGAACAATCGTCAGTATGGGATGCTCGTCATGACTTGAGATAGGGAATGCATACCCCATCGTTCACCCAACCATGCCCGGTCGTACCGAATGTTTCAATGGCAAAGATCTCTCCCTCTTCCATCTTGGTTTGATCCTTGTTCTTCACGAAAGGAATCGACTTTCCGCCGTGGATCTGATAGGGCTTGATGTTATGGCCACTGATGTTGCGCACTGCTTTCACAGGCACAGTTTTGCCGTTGATCTCAATCTCGTAGTTTTCCATCGCCTCCTGGATAGCGGCACTGACATCGCTGATCCGCACATCAATCCCGGAATTCTACCTGTCGTTAGCCATCGCTCGAGAAAGAAACCCAATCGACTCACCTTGATGCCGGTGTTGGTGGCGTCCTTGACAGCCGCAAGCAGATTGTCATAGGTTGAGTCGAAGGACATGGTGAAGGCACTATCAACGATCCACCCGTTGATGTGGACCCCGAAATCCACCTTCATGACATCGCTCTGCTGCAAGATGATTTCCTTTTGGCCAGGATTGGGCGTGAAATGCGCTACGCAGTTGTTCAGCGCGAGTCCCGTTGGAAATCCGAATCCCGACACGAGACCACTGCCAGGCTCCAGACCCTCATTATCAAGCAGCGCTCTCACGCCGTCCTCGATGCCCACCGCAATATCCGTGAGCGGTTGGCCGGGTCGGACGTTATCTTGCGTCCAGTGCCGGACCTGACGGTGGACCTCGGCTGCTTTGCGATAGTCATTGAGCAGGCTATTGTCTTCCAGATAACTGCGTGATTTGTACCGGACCTCCTCGGCCGTCGTGCGAGCCGTGTTCTCGATCCAGGACCCATAGCTCTGGATCTCGCCGCTGGGGTACTGACCAGCAGGGAAGAGAGTGGTCAGAGGAACCCGAGGCGGCGACGATTGTTTCACAGCCTTCTTCTTGGACTTCTTTCTTTTCTTCTTCTTTTGAACCGTTGTCGGTGGGTTCTGCGATGTCAGCGGCATGGGAGCAGCGCTGGCCCGATTTTCTCCATCGTCATCGTCGTCGCTGCCCCCATCCTGCATGCTGCCATCTCCATCTCGGGCCAAATGGACACCTCGTGCTTCTCCGCCAGTGGTGCTGGACTTGATCGAGTCGGACGGGTCATCTGAGTACAGTCAGCCTGGCCGCAAACGTGGGGAGGGGGGCAGATTGGTACATACGGCCATTGGCCTGGGGCTCGCCCTGAGGGGTCTTGGAGCCCATGTCGACATATAGCTGTAGAATTTGCAATGACTCGTCAATAGTGAGGATGGCAGAAAATGTTGGAAGTCCAGTTTGGGTTTTGCACGAATGCCAAAAGGCGGTGTGATCCTCGAACGCCGTGGGCAGGTCTGTTGTATATCTACGGCCGTACAGACACTTGCCTCCCTGGGTATACACGATGGTATTATGAATTAAATGCTATACCGAAAAAATAATATTGAGTGCCCAACCTTGGAATCTGAGCCTGACCGTTCATATACACATTCTATACAACCTTTTCACAGTTTTACTGGATAGATGGTGTTCTGTTCTTACCGATTAGCGTCTCTTGGCAATGCTTCTAGAAACCTTCGAGAGAGAGAGAATCATCTCTTGGCTGACAGACGCCACTGCAGATCCGATGAACCGAATACTGGTTGGATAAAAAATGCAATCCAAGAAAATCCAAACCACGCAGTTTTGTTCTTTTTCTTTTTCTTTTTCTGCAAGTTTCCGACGCATCCGAGAAATGCGTCACTTCCCCTATTTCTCATCCCGCCACTCCACCCTCCATTCTTCTCCAACAAATGCCTCGTGGTGCCCCGTTGGGCATCCAGGCGACTTGCCAGTCGAAGTCATCATTCATGCAATCTCCAATGGTTGTTTCCGGGGAAGTAGCAGCATAGAGAGATCCGGCTGATAGGAACTATTGCCACCGGTTGGTTTTTTGCACTATTGTTATTTTCAAATTCATTTTTCAACATTTTCCAGCCATCTGGGTATGAGGTCAGAGGCCTTATGGACGAACCGAACCCGCGGGAACCACGGTGATATTTTCCACACTCTGACGTCGGATCGACCCCGGCACAAGACGATGTATGCATGAACCGATAAATCCCTCAGCTTTCTGCGCCTTGGGATTTTGGCCCTCTCTTCCTGTGGTAAGTATATAACCATCAGCATAATACTAAATGGAGTGGGTTGGGGGGGGGGGGGGGGGGGGGGGAAGTTCGGAGATTCCCCCTCGTAGATACCGGAACGGACGTAGAGTGCCGTCTTTTTTATCCGATGAGGCTCCGGGAGACTGCTGCGCCCTCTCCCTCATTCTCTTTCTTATTCTCACCCCTGAATCAAACCCCGCAACAAAACCCGCATTCGATGCGCATATGGTCTACTTGGATCATGTTAGTGTGGTCAAGTTTCCTTCCCTACGAAGGGCAATATCGGGTTTTTCAACCAACATGCGCCTCTTTCTATTCCAGAAAAATCCGCGCCGAGTGGATCACCCTGGGACATGGTGATGCCCACTCGTGCAGGCTTCCAGAGTTTTCGCGAGACATGACGTGGGTCGAGGGCCACTTGAGGAATCTGCGGTATTTGTGAGAAAAAAAAGTAATAATAACGAATCAAGATATAATACAATGATATAATGATAATACAATGTAATTATGAGGATTGTATCATAACAATCATAATAATCATGGATTATTGCCTTTAGTTTCTGAGCCAGGAAGTATGATCTTATTGATATTGGCTATATTTCTTTTTCCATTATCCCTCACCGAGTAGGATTATTGGGATGATCATCGTTCATAAGATTTTACCCAGGGGTGTCTTATTTACTCGATGGGGCAACCGGTACGTACATTACTGGACATAGGGAGATCCTAAACAAGCAATGGCCAAGAAACTCAAGACATGAAAAAAAAGCCGCGAAAATCTGGGGCTCCCTAGGCCCTTGGCTTCATCCTGGAAAAGCACGGGGCCCAGAAAGGCTGTGGGACAACGGGCCTGCAGAGAGAAGTACGGGGACTCCATAAACGCCCCATCTCCCCCCTCTTTTCAGGAGAAGAGATAGAACAAAAACGAAAGAAAGAGGGGGATGTGGAGGGTCATGAACCGAGTCTCACACCATAATCATAATCAGAGTGTTTTATTAATTGGGAGCAAGGAGCAGTCGCATGTACGCGCATCTACTAGGCAGGGCGCATTCTAGACGCAGTAGGGAGGTATGACGATCGGGTGGGGCAAGGCGACTCCACGACATAGTTTGCACACGGCGCATTCTTGCCCCACCGGCTTCTGCCTTACTCGGCGTTCACAGTGTCCCGATGATTTCGCAGTCCCGAGGGGCCAATTGGTGCAAACGGGTTGGGGCCAATCCTTCAGATATGCTATATACTATATAAGAAAAAATAAAAATAGAAAAAATGAACGAAAAAAAAGAGTGTGTGATATAGGTATAGAATCTAAATAAGCAAGGAGAAGAAAAAGAAAAGAAAAGAACTAGTTATAATAATAATAATAATAATAATAATAATAATTTACGCGACGCGCCCAGGCAAATGGTTGAGTGGAAACACAAACCATGCATTTTCTCTCAGCATAACCCATTCTCTGTCCAACTCGAGGATTCAATGTCCACCGGGGCGACACCCTTTTGCCAATCATGATCACCACCCAGGATCTCAAATTCTCAAAAGATTCCACGGGGACCCAGTGAATCCAGCGAACCCAGTGATAGTCCGACCATGATATCATCGGGGAAACTACCTGCACCAAAGCGGGTCTTTTTCCCTTTTAAAAAAAGAAAAGAAAAAGAAAAAGGATGCCGATTATTGATGCACCCGGGAGCTTGGCTCCACAACGGCCAACCACGATTCAATGGATCGTTCACAGTGGAGTAGGTGGACCGAGTATGGATTCGGGCTCGGAGCCATTCACAACATCGTTCCAACACACACCGAGACACGGGGGAAACGGTAATATGGAGATGCGTGTATCTTCTTGCCACTTTCGGTGCCGATGAAGTATTCAAATATGTCCCCTTTCCTCCCCCCCCGTATCTAGATCTCTTCTTCCTTCCTTCTTCGCGTGTCTTTCCTATCATCTCCATTCCACCCCGACTTTCCCTTAAAACACCCACGTGTTTATCGCCTCTTGGGGGTAGCCTCACATCACATCTTGGATGTGTGAAGATTGACCCGTCTCTTTTTTCTTTCTCGATTCTTTCTCGATCTTATAATCATGGCGCCTAGTTTCGCGGGCATGTCGGGGAGGCCCCTCTCGTTGACGGTGTCGACCATCGCAACGATGGGTTTCTTGCTGTTCGGTTATGACCGTAAGTAATTACATTTGCATGGCTTTGCCACGAAGACAACTAACATCCAACAAGAGGGTGTCATGTCTGGTATCATCAGTGCCAAGGCCTTCAACGACGTGTTTACCGCGACCAGGGGCGACAACACCATGCAGGCCTTGGTGACTGCCGTCTATGAGTTGGGTTGTTTGGCGGGTGCCATCTGGGCCCTGTTCATGGGTGACCGCATGGGTCGTCGGTGGATGATTCTGTCCGGTGCTGCTGTGATGATCATCGGTGTTATCATTCAGGTCACCTCGTTCGTCGACCACATTCCCCTACTGCAGTTCTTCATCGGCCGTGTTATTACCGGTATTGGCAACGGCATGAACACTTCGACCATCCCCACCTACCAGGCCGAGTGCTCGCGCACCAGCAACCGTGGTCTGCTGATCTGTATCGAGGGTGGTATCATTGCCATCGGTACTGCCATTGCCTACTGGATCGACTTTGGTGCTTCATACGGCCCCAGTGACCTGGTCTGGCGTTTCCCCATTGCCTTCCAGATCGTTTTCGGTATCATTATCATCATCGGCATGTACTATCTGCCTGACTCTCCTCGCTACCTCATCTCCAAGGGCAAGGTGCACGAGGGTGAGTACGTGCTGGCTGCTCTGGGTGGTCACGCCGTCGAAGACCACGAGACCCAGATACAGAAGCAGCTCGTTATCGAGTCGATCGAGGCTGCGGGTGTTGCCGAGGGTGCTGGCTACTCTGACCTGCTCACCGGTGGCAAGACCCAACACCTGCGTCGTATGCTTATCGGTTCCTCGTCTCAGATCGCCCAGCAGCTGTCGGGCTGCAACGCTGTCATCTACTACCTGCCCGTGTTGCTGCAGCAGTCCCTCCACCAGGACAAGTTCATGTCGATGATCATTGGCGGTGTGAACATGATCGTGTACGCCATCTTCGCCACCTTCTCCTGGTTCTTTATTGAAAAGATTGGTCGTCGCAAGCTGTTCATTTGGGGTATGACTGGCCAGATGGTCTCCATGATCATCGTGTTTGGCTGCCTAATCCCCGACAAGGAGGGCCCGTCCAAGGGTGCCGTGTTCGGTCTGTTCCTGTACATGGCCTTCTTCGGTGCCACCATGCTGCCTCTGCCCTGGTTGTACCCGGCCGAGATCTCGCCCATTCGCACTCGTGCCAAGGCCAACGCCCTTTCGACCTGCAGCAACTGGCTGTTCAACTTCACTGTTGTCATGATCACCCCTGTTATGGTTGAGCACATCCGCTGGCGTACCTACCTGTTCTTCGCTGTGATGAACGCCGTCTTCATCCCGCTCATGATTCTCTTCTACCCCGAGACCGCTGGCCGCAGCCTGGAGGAGATCGATATTATCTTCGCCAAGGGCTACTGCGAGAACATGAGCTATGTCCGGGCTGCCAAGGAGCTGCCCAAGCTCACTGATGAGGAGATTGAGCAGAAGGCTATGGAGTATGGTTTCGGCAGTGGTGGTGGTAACGACGCCGAGAAGGGCACTTCTGAGCACTCGCCGCAGTCGACCTCGACCGAGGAGCAGCGGGCGTAAGCCTGCCTCTTTTCAGGCTTTTTCTTTCTCTTTCTGTTGCAGTTGTGTAGGACGTGACAGTGCTGTGCGCTGCCATTTCTCAACGTTATGGCTGTGCTGATTTTGTCCATCTATGACATGGCTGGATTGATGTCTTTTTTTTTCTCTTTTGGATTTACCTGAGGTCTTGACCCTTTCACTTTTGATTTCTTCAATTTCCTCTTTCCATATACCCATCCTATTTTTTTGTTGAACAGAACACAGACCCGGGTACTCGTGTCTTGCTTGTTTTATTTTTTTTGTCCCAAAAGTGCAGTGTGGTTGCTGGTTTCATGTTATCTATGCTTATTATGGTCATGACGTTCTAAAGGTCGGGCATGCGATAATCACAACTCGATATATGTGCGCTTGTACAAGTCCGAGTCCATTGAAGGTAGCTCTGCATAGATTTTTTTTTTGTATGTGCTTTTAAATGTAGTCTGTCATAAGTCCCCGCATACCTTTCCCGCGTGCGAGGGCCCTACGAGGCTATTTATGCGAGGGCGTTGCACCTTGCAGCCTGCAAGGAGGATCGTACTTCGTCCTGAGTCCTACTGCAGGGTTTCAGACTGTACACCCATCCCCAGATACCTTGGTGGATTATTTACTCGATTGCGTAAGTTCTGTAGCCAACCTCGGCTCCTACACTACCTTAAGGGACACAGGTGACTGGGTCACTCGTAAACAAACCGCTGGTCGGCTAATCCGCTCCCTTCTCTTCATTTTTTTCTTTGTTTCTCACTTCTCACTCGGGGGTCTTGGTTCATTTGCAATATCCATATTTTCTCATCAACACCGCCTGGACTCCAAGCCCCAGTCCTTTCGCTAGACAGATCATGTCCATTCGTACCGGCCCCCGCCTCGACCCCGCGCCATGAGCTCGTCTCTCGAGGCCAAGATCGTCGTGCTGGGCGCGCAAGGTAATGTCTCTCGAACAAAGAGACAAAGTCTCAAAAATACTTCTCATCGCGGCATCGCTAACACTCTATCTTTCACATATTTAGGGGTCGGCAAAACATCCCTGGTCCAGCGCTACGCCAAAAACGCCTTCAACCCTGCCGGCACAACGTCCACGGTCGGGGCATCGTTCGTGACCAAGCGCGTGCTGGACAGCACGTCCGACACGATCGTGCGGCTCCAGATCTGGGACACGGCGGGCCAAGAGCGCTTCCGCAGCATCTCGCGCCTGTACTACCGCGGCGCCCACGCCTGCCTGCTCTGTTATGATATTACCGACGAGCACAGCTTTCAGGAGATGACCGGGTGGTTGCGCGAGCTGCGCCGGCATGTCGGCGATGCTGACGCCGATGCCGACCCGATCGTCATCCATGTCGTCGGCACCAAGTCCGATGTCATCGCCGTTGATCCGGCGCGTCGTCGCGTCCCCTTTGAGCGAACTATCGCCTACGTCGCTGAGCAGCTGTATCCCAGCCGGGCGTCGACCCCGCCCCCGACTGCTACGATGGGTGGCATGGGTCTGGGCTTCGGGTCTGCTGTGTTCGGTGGTAGTGGTGGTGGGGGGAGTGCGTCGGGCGGCAGTGCAGCGGGGGTGTCATCGGCGGCGCTGCAGAGCCCCGACAGCAAGCGCAGCAGTGCGTTCTGGGGCCAGGAGATCGGCTGGGACTGCTGCCACGAGATCAGCGCCAAGGACGGTGAGGGCATCGACGAGGTCTTCCGGGTTATCACCCGCAAACTTGTCGAGCAGCGCAACCGTCGCGATGCCGACTTCGCTTTGTCTGCTGCTGGCACTCCCGGTGTCGGCGATGGTTCTGCCGGTCCGTTCTCGCCCGCTGGAGTTGATGATACAGGGAGCTTTCGTCTTGGTCAGCCTGATAAGCGCCGCAGCTGGCTGGGCTTGGCGACGCCTACTGTGGGCGCATCTGAGGAGGTTCAGGTGATGCAGACCGCCCAGAAGAAGGGCCGGTGTTGTTGAGATGGCGGGTCTTTTCATTATCATGATCATATCATTTTCTTCTTTTTGCATGTGTAGTTTGACTGGTGTTTACTTCTGGTTGATTCGAGTAAGTTATTGTATGTTGGACTGTCTTTTTTATCTTGGGTGGCTTTTTGGTTTATTTCGTTGTATACCTTCATGATCTATGCACAATTTGGGTGATTCCAATGTACTATTGAATTTCCGTTGCGCCTTGAAGTATTTTCTCCCATGCGACATCATAACAGGCCCTAACTCTACTGTTCATCAATCGAACAACCTTTGTTGTTTCTATAAATCGCCAGCTGCATGGCATGATGTCACATATCCTTCAAGTGGACACACAGTGGATCTGTTCTTCGCGGTAGATCTGCAGCGCATCTATGTATAGAACCACCCAAGCATACTGAGCACGCGAGAGATCCTCCAGGGCTGGTTGTCGCTTACTTGTACCGGGAGAATCGAGCAGGCTTCAAAACCAGGCACCCACAGCGTTGCAAAATCCCTTCACTGCTCCCCGTCCTGTCAATTCCCAGACTCTACCCCATCGCTTCGGCAGCTGCTTCCTGGCAGCTGGATCAGCCGCAGTTTAGTTTCCGGCATCTTAGTGTAAGTCCCAGTTTACTGTCCTCCTCTTGGATAAGAACTGTGAGGATGACTAGACGGTGGACTGAGCCGGAGGTACACTTGCGAGCTAGCCATGTACCCCCACCACATCCCGCTGATGAGAGTTTCCGTGGTTTCCATCTGCTACGACAGAAGAAAAGCCATCGGCCGTACGACCGCTGAATCGCTACCCACGACCTCGACTTGTTGCTCACTCTCGGCGATACCGACATCCTGTCCCAGGACAACGCGTGCGAGACACAAGTAGTATCGGTCCATCTCACCAACTGACATGTACGCGACCTCCAGACATCTAGAGCCCCCCGGGTCCAGCCCCAAGGTGCAGATCGTCGACATGATGAATAAAGGTCTGCTACCTGCAACGTCATCTGGCCCCATCCTCGGCCCCCTCCGCAGCATGCAATGTCGGACACGCGCTGCCCCTAAGACCACTGGCTGTTACGGCGAAGAAGGGGACAATGGTATGAGTTCCGCAAGGGTGGATGGAAGCTACACTCAAGGGTTGAGGCATTCAGGGTACACAATGAGTCTGGCGCCGGATACAATACGCCACAGTCAAGGCTGCAAATGCTTGACAGCCCGATTACATCAAGCTGCAGCGGCAAGTGGCGCCATCTGATCCCTCCATGAGCCTTGGCTTTCCTCGGCGCACGGTCTCCGTTCCCGCCAGGCGTTTCTCGGCAAGTCGTATGTCGCCCGCAAGCGCGAGGATACCATGGCCCCAATGGTGCGCGCGCCAACCTGGGCTGGCTTTTCTGCTTTGCGGGGCGACAGCCCCCTCGTATGCTGATGTCTACATCTCCAGATGCTTCGATAGGGCCTGGATGCTAAGGTTCATCGCATTGCTCGCATTGCTGGACCCCACGCTATGTCGGACGCGTGGCTTTTGACAAGGATTTCGACCTGAAGATTCCGCCCCTTTACCCAGGATCCCTAGTATGACTAGGGGGTCAAAAGTATGTTGGCACTCAACATCGATGGAATTTTTTACATATCATTAGACTACCATTTCGAGTACAATCGCTATACCCGACAATTGGTGCTATTGCAAATATGCCCATTAAGAATGCATTGTTCCTGCATCGGGCCGATTCGCACAATACACCAGGGACCGTCTGATCCCCTGGCCCCAGCCCCCAGCCTTGGGCAGAGTGGGGCGCCGAAAGGCTGGCTATGCCTTCTTGGGTATTCATTCTCCCAAAACTAGTGCGTATCTTCTAAGGCTAACGCGTATACATCTTGGGAATCCTCACACATAGTAGATAGATGGACTTTTCTACATCTACAAGTGTGGCTGCGTACTCTCCTTGTTAGTTGAATCCTTTGTCTTGACGAAATACAGATATGCCACGTAAGCCTTGTTCGGTGAGCAACACTCATACATTTACAAGGTGCAGTTGGGAGGCGTGGGGGCCGCTTAGCCTTGTCTCCAAGGCACCCTTTGGCATCAGGTGACTTTCAGGAACGACTTGTGTTGCTTTGTGATACTCTGTGTGCGTTTCTCTGGAGAAAAAGTAAAAAAAAGAATCGAAAAGATGAGGACTTCAAGAGGTGCATCTCACCTATGATCCAGATCTCGACTCGCGATGCTAAGGCTGAGCGAACTTAAAGGCCAGCTAAGAATTGTGGGCCCACTAAGCCCCCAAACGGCCAAGGGTCAGGCGTTTCACCTTTTTTATCTCTCAACGCCCTTTCCTCCCTGGATTGCCAGACGTGGCCTGTCAATTGATTTCTTGAGTCTTTCACGGGAGCAATGTCGAAGTAGTCTTTGCGATCCCATTCTCGTTCGATATTCGCTTCGATTGACTGATTCCCGTCACCTTCCTCGCCTGGCGTGACCAGGCATATGGTATGCTAGGATGAGGTTGATTGCCCGGATCGGGGTGGCGGCCGCACTTATCGTCACCGTCATTTTTCTCAGCTTGAGCCGAATCCATGAAAACATCAGGCCCCCCCAGCATCTCTGGCATTTCGACACCACCCCCCTTCGCGGTCACGAGCCCGAACCGCACCCTCCGCCGCGCCCGAAGCGCAAATGGTGGGCTGGCGCCGAGGAGAAGCAAAAGGTTGAATACCAGGTTGTCGAAGTCGATGTGCCCAGTCATGGCGCCATTGTCATGGGCAAGTTTAGGGACCAGGACACGTCATGGTTATCGCAGATAGCCGAGTATGTCTTTCTTCCTCTTCTTTCCAATTGCACCAGAGCGACCAGGACATCTAACCCCGATTTCCTTTTCTAGATGGCGCAGTTTTATCTACCTGGTCGATGACCCCTCCGCGTTCTTCCACACCCCGACCAACAAAGGCCGCGAGGCCCTCCCCTACCTCCAGTTCATCATTGAGCACTACGACAAGATCCCTGACATGTCCATCTTCCTCCACCACCACAACGAGGGCCCGGAATCCTGGCACATCGACAACTATTGGCACAGCAACGTAGATGCGGTGCGCGCTCTACAGAAGGACACCGTTGAGCGCGAAGGCTTCGTCAGTCTCCGCTGCCAACTCTCCCCGGGCTGCCCCGTCGCGATCCAGCCCGGGCGCCGCGCGAACGCGGAGGCCGAATCGGCCGAGAAGTACTACTCCAGGGCCTGGAGAGCTCTCTTCGATAACGACGATGTGCCCGCTCAAATCGCCGCCCCCTGCTGCTCGCAATTTGCCGTTTCGCGGGACCAGATCCTGCAGCGGCCTCTTTCGGACTATAAGCGCATGTATAATTGGGTGCTGAACACGAAGTTGTCGGATGAGATTGTTTCTAAGATTATGGAGTACTCTTGGCATATCATTTTCGGGAAGGAGCCGGTGTTGTGAGTGTTCTTTCCTCCTTTCCTTCATTTTTTTCCCCTGTTGTTCGACCTTTCCATTGATCATCCTGCTAACAATTTTCTATTATAGCTGTCCCGACGAGTACATGTGCTATGCGAATGTCTATGCTGATTATGGGCCGGCCCAAGGATTGTCCAATTTCAACAACCCAGACCGATTCGGCCTAGACGATCCAGGCCAAGAAGACTTAGCCGAAGACGAAGAGGAGGACGAAGAAGACGAAGACACTTCACCCAAAGCCAAACCTGCCAAAAACAAGCGCCCTCTCCACGGGAGCTCTTCAGATGAGGATGAAGAAGACGACGATGCCCAAGGAGACTCGTCCAAAGCCAAATCCGGCAAAAATAAGCGCCCTCCCTATGGGAACGCACCAGATAAGGATGAAAAGGACGAAGATGACCAAGGCGACTCACCCAAAGCCAAACCTGTCAAAAAGAAGAGCCCTCCATCTGGGAGCTCCTCAGATAAAGACGCCCAAGACGACGACGCGCAGGACGACTCACCCAGAGCCAAACCTGGCAAAAGAAGAGTCCTCCATCTGGGAGCTCCCCAGACGAGGACGCCCAAGACGAAGATTACCAAGGCGACTCACTTAAAGCCAAATCCGGCAAAAGGAAGAGCCCTCCACACGAGAGCTCTCTAGACGAGGATAAAAAGGACGACGATGTCCAAGGAGACTCGTCCAAAGCCAAATCCGGCAAAAATAAGCGCCCTCCCTATGGGAACGCACCAGATAAGGATGAAAAGGACGAAGATGACCAAGGCGACTCACCCAAAGCCAAACCTGTCAAAAAGAAGAGCCCTCCATCTAGTAGCTCCCCAGACAAGGACGCCCAAGACGACGACGCGCAGGACGACTCACCCAAAGCCAAACCTGGCAAAAAGAAGAGCCCTCCCTCTGGGAGCTCCCAAGATGAAGACGCCCAAGACGACGACGCTCAAGGCGGCTCATCTAAAGCCAAACCCGCCAAAAACAAGCGCGTTCCTTATGGGAGGTCCCAAGATGAGGACGACCAAGATGAAGACGCCTCAGATGACGATGCTCCAGATCTGGACATCTAATGCTTTTTTTTCTGTTATTTTTGAATGGTTTGTATTCCATAGAATAAATACCCTGTTGGTTTTTCTAGTGATGCTTGATGCCACTATCTCTGGCGCTGATGAACAGTGCTAATATCATGAGTTGATATCTATTGATGATTACGAGTGTCTTTTGTCTTGATTGCCTTAGCAGGTGTATATACTCATGGAATGATTCCGAGGCTCCGTATGATGTCATAGGATAGAATGGGTATTTCCAGATCTAAGACCACATTCACATCCTTATACTCCCTATTCTACCGAATTCAGTACCTATACTTGCCCATGTATCGACAGTCGTTCGGCAGCCAGCGCTGGGGTATATTCAAGTCAGAACCATTCGCCTCTCTTTCTCTTCCCACCGGTAAACTCCTCCCTCGCCGACATTATAATGGTAGTAATTATTCGTGCCCCCGGGCACCACCGCCCTCCGAAACGTGATGTTAATCCGCCCCTTGCCCGCCTCGGCGCTCTTGCGCTTAGGGATGCTGTGTAACCAATGCGCTTGTGTCGGGCCCTGCATGACGACCATGTCGCCAGAGGCGAGCCCCATTTTGATTTGTGGCGTGGCATTGCCATTGAGACTGGTAGGAGATGCAAATGCAGACACAGAATTGGACGTTCCTCCCCGCATTGAACTCGATGCCGCTATCGTCCCACCCACAGAACTGGTGGAACCACCAACAGCGCCAGTAGTAGTAGTAGTAGTAGTAGTAGTAGTAGCAGCAGCAGCAGCAGGAAACGGCTTATGTTTCATGACAAAATCTCGCTCGCCGCCCAGCGAGAGCGACGCAATGCTCGGGTCTCGGCCGAGGAACCGCTCGTCGTCGGCGTGGAATGCGATGCTGTCGTCGCCGCTGGCGTAGTAGTTAACCAGGCAGAAGTTGTAGCTGTTTTTGTCTGTGTTGCCGGCGGCGGCTTCGACTTGCTGCCGGAGGATGTCGAGACATGGCGGGATTGGGCGCGGCGCATGCTGGTATTTTGTTGGTGGGATGGGGGTGTTGGTGGTGGCGTCTACTAGAATGAGATTGTTTGTATCGATGGCGGGTTTGGTGCCTTTGTCGTTATTATTGGTGTCATCGCTTCTATTGCTGCTGCTGGTGGTAGTAGTGGTAGGAGGAGTCGGCGTATGTGATAGATTGGAAGTCCCCGGTACAGTAGACGCAGACACAAACTTGGACGTAGCATCCACCCCAAACACAGTCGTGAACCGCGGCGTATTAATCACAGTCTCTGTATCCCCACGCCGGGCCGAGTATCGCACTCGATAGAAGGGCAGCCCGCGGCGCAGAAACCGGAACAGCTCATTGGCTGTAGCCCGCGAGATATACGGCTGGAAATGAAGCAGGTCCAGCTGGGGCTGGTTGCGGATTGCACGCGGTGGGTGCGCGGGTGTGGCGTGGACGAGCCCGGATTCGATGTGGGATGGTAGATTAAGGATGTCGAAGGGGTATGTTGCGTGTCGGCCTGGTGGTCCGTTGGTTTCTTCGTTGGTTGGAGGTGAATCGGCTTTGCTTCGTTTTGAGCTGATCTCTGGGCTTGGTTGGAAGAATGCGTCGAGCGTTCGCTTGGGCATGGCGGAGGCCTTTCTGGAGGGTTGGTGATCGTACAGTGGACGGAGTTTATAGACGCGTTTTCTCAACGCGCTCCACAACTCGGGATGATGTCATTGCAACTGGAGATGTATACAGTTGAGTGCCATTAGAGCTACAAGATAATGTATTTATGTATACGTTGTCCCTATTAACAGATGGAATTTATTCAGATCAAACAAGCGAGAGATTGACAAGCCCGAAGTACTCATTCACCTATCCTCCATTCCGCCATTCCTGTGTACTGCCCACTCTATTGACCTATCGACCTTGACATAATTGAATCCATCCAGTCTTGGAACTTCCCAGGCCCCTTGGACTCTTCCTCTAGCAATCCACAGCATCGCGTTCCCCCATGGCGCCTGGCTGGAATTTGGCATTGGCAATCACATCGAACCCACTGAGGATGCTAATTGCACAGACCGGCCACAATGTCGCGTAAATAACCAGGTAATTCTCCAACATCCACTCCTTCGGGGTACTCTTGGGCTCACTTTCCATCATGGAGACTAGGACCTTGTAAGAGAGGTTATCGACCCAAGCACCAAGTTTGCAAGCACACGCATCACAGCAATACTCCCCGGAGGAATGATCGGTTGTAGCTGCCAAAATAGCCACGCGACGTAGACCGACAGCTAAAGCAACCGAGTCGCGCGAGACCACTGCTTGAGGGATTCCAGCGATGGCATGGAATTGGTCGGTCGTATTGACAGATGCCTGGTACGTGGGTTCACATTCGGCGCATAGACGGGGCTGGCTGATGCCGTATTTCTCAAACACAACCAAGGCTGGAGGAAGCGTGTATGCTTCGGTGACTCGGGGCGTCAGTCTGGATGGTGATGATGGATTCATTGCTGCATCCCACGACTCGCTTACGGGAATGTTTTCGAGGTCTTGGTCGCTAACTGCCAGAACCTTCCCACGACGGGAGATCTCCAGGATTCGGGAGGCATCTGGCGAAGAGAATGCTTGTAAGATTCTGGTATATTTGATGAAACGTTCCCAGGTTCGATATCGAGTGTTGAAGGGCGCCCAGCTGAAGGTGATCATATAAACCGAATCACCGAAGATGAGATCTTCGCCCTCGGGAAGACGACTAATGCGACGAGCAATTGCATCGACCATTCCCACTGAATAGGCGACAGCAATGTCATCCTTGGCCAGTCCAGCCCCAGCTGTGTACATCATACCGGTCATCCTGTTCGAGGCTCCGTGATCGTACAAGAGGTCGTGAAGATTGGCCACGAGAACAGATGTAAACTGGCCGGATTGGCTGGGATCATAGTGCTCCTCCGGGATGTAGCCATATGGATTGAGAGCAGCACAACCAGCACTCAAGACCCCGGTCCACGCTTTAGGCGAGATGTTGGATGGTCCTTGGATGTTCGCACCACGACCGCCCAGGGCCCAACTGAGCTGAATATCGCGCACGCAGTGCTGGAGGTCATATTAAGAATATATTAATTGCGGAGCGTAGCGGAGCACTCTAAACAACCATCCCGGCTCACCTGACCTTTGTCTCTTTAACCCAGGGTAGGCTCAATGTATGTCATGTGACTTATGCCGATTCTAGCGATATGATTGGTGGAATCCTAGCACTCTGATTGGTCGAAACCTCGCGCTCTGATTGGCCAAATCGAATCATCATCAGTGACTTTTGTAGCCCTATACCCTATACAAACCAGTTTTTGGTATAGCCAAAATCTCGAAGATTATTTACGTGATGAATCATGTGATAAGAATCGTGATTACCCCTTTACTAATTATCTATTTAAAACTTAGACGGGGGTCCTAGGGGGCTACCGCCCCCTAGTATATATATATATATATTATATTATATAGAAAAAAATATATATAGAAAGATAGAAAATAGATCTTTATTATATTATATTAAACCTTACGTTTAAAATACTAGCCTTAGGCGGGGTCTAAAAATTACGTTTACGCCGAAGCTACGTGACGCAATAAACTAGGAGCCTCTCGATATATAGAAATTGCGCCTATACTAAAGCTACGCTCCGCATCTCTTCGGCGTCTTACCGGCCAATTAAGGCTGGGGGTCCGGGGGGCGCCGTGCCCACTGGTATAGAGAATAATCTCCCCCTCTTTATTCTGTAAAAAAATATTTTATTAGAAATATATAGAAAATAAATAACTAATATATTAATATCTTTCACTTTCAACTTACTTATACTCGGGTAGCTCTAGTTTACCCTCGGGCACCTCCTCCAAATACCGTTTGTAAGTAGTATTGCCCTTTAAGAAACGAGCCATTTTGATGATATTTGATAAAAAATCGATGAAAAATGGATAGGTGGGTTAGATGGGTAGATAGAGAAGGTAAGTTAGTTTTGGTGTGGTAATGCCAAGAAGTAATTTTTAATTAATTATAGATAGCCAATCATAATACGCTTACATAAGCTTGTTCCACATTCCAAATATTGACTCCACATTTAGAACATTATAATTCCGCTCTGAATGTGGACTCAACATTTGGCAAACGTTCATCTGATCTGGGTCGGGTTACAGCTGAGGGGGCCCCAAAAAATACTGAGCGGGCCCCAAAAATCGGTGGAATATTACGCCGACTTTTAGGGCCCCTTAGCTCGCTAAGTCGACTAGGCCCTAAAATATTTTATGCTAAAATTAAAATTCTTACTAATAATGCTTTTATTATCCACAGATCAACTCTATATAATCTTATATCTCTATATTTTCTTTATTTATACCGTTTCTAGGTTTTGTATATGATTTAGAACACGGATTTTTTGTATATATTCAATAAAAAATCATTAGCGTGCTAAATAGACAATATCTATTTGAAGACCCATGAACGCTTTCTATGGAGAACTAGGAGTACTGCCTAGTAAGAAGCGGTACAAGATGAACAGCGTACGTAGTTCCTTTAGCTTCACGCATGACCTCCTGTCCAAGGCCGTTTAGCACTTCGCTGTTTCGCACCAATATTAGAAAGAGCATTCGTTCCCAACTCGTATCTTCTAAGCGACGGTTAGGATTTTGACCCTATCGGGTGATCTGTCGCTTATACCCGCGATAAAATGTCGCTAACTGATCATGACTTAGTCTATTTAAATATATATAAAATTAGAATAAAGGGAAGATACATTCTCTCTGCTAAGAGGCTTAAGTAAATGAAATAGCATTAACTAATTCGCTATGAAATTTTGGTTTGTAATAACCGCAGCTTACTGAGCTTTATATATACTACAATATAGCTCGAGTCCTCCTTGTGTCTCATAGTCTCAACCACGGGAATTGCAGATGGAAATAGCATATTGAAAGTACAGGATTCAAAGGCAGTAGGGTTCTCTCGGGCCCCAAAGCAATATCACCCCACTCTTGTTAGTGGCCCCCTTCCTTCGCTGCCTGCCCCTATTTTGTGTACCCTGGCCCCGAGTCTCGATCTTCTGTGGCAAGAGGTCGCCCCCCGGTCTTTATGTACGTAGGTACCCCATAGCCCTGTAATCGATATCTGGATTATATGGTATGAGTGTATTTGCCTAATGGCTGGGCCTTAATAATTCGCCTTCTGCTCTGTCCTGAGTCTTGGTAGAGCTTCTAGTCCACTATTACATAGTCTTGACTGGAGATTTCTTTTGTAATAAAGAACGTTTACGTAGATAAAAGGGAGTGTCCCCGCAGAAAATTCCTTTAACTGGATAACCCACGATTCTGAAAGTAGTTAATCTTTACTTTTACAATTTCCTATAACGAAAGAAAAGTCACCGGCCCAGCTCTGACCTAAATAAGACTAGTCAAGCTTCCGTAGAGCCCTATGGTTAAGAATGGCTCTTCGCCCGAAGATAATCGGGCTTTTTGGGAACGTGTGGCTTCTTCTTCAATTCCTTCAAGATCTTTCGAAGTGGTTTCTCCTTCATGTGCCCCGGCTTGGGCAGTGGCAAGGCCCGTGATGGAAAAAGCAGAATGCCTGCGTCCCCGTCGTAAGTGAAGCCCCCGTCCACCACCAAGAATAAGACTATGGCTTGTTAGTCTTTGTGGTCAAATAAAGGGCAGTAAGCATCTTACTGAGGGCAAAATATGTTATACTCTGGGCATTCCATATAGCCGGATGAAAGGGGCCTACTGGAGACATTGGGTGGCCTATAACAACGGGCGCTAAGTCTTTGACCTGTTTCCATTCGTAGGCCCCGTCGCCGTCCTCGCTGTAATCGATGACTAGAAAGAAACCAGATGAGCGATAGAATCCTTTCCTTTTAGATCCTCAGAACTGTTAAACCTACCCTTTTGGCCCGGTAACACATCGGAACCACGGAATTCCATGATATCAAGTAAATGGGTTGTCTCGTGAAAGAGTGTATTGGTGAAGGAGGCAAGGAAATCATCGATAGGGAATTTCGGGATCATTGCCGAAGATAAATAGAACATATTGGTTGGCTGCATCCAATAAGCGCACGAATTTTCATTGAGTGCGTAGCTCTCCCCGGCGCAGAAGACAATGACTTCATATGGGGGCTTTTCAAATTCCAAGACCATTGCAAGGTCATTCCCGTCGCAATCAACCTTTCGTTCCAAGAACACCCAGTCCTTGTGGATAGTACTCCAGTAAGGAACTTTATCATCCTTCGTCTTGTTCCCTTGATAGGACTGGCCGTTGTGGTCGTCGTGAAGAAAAGAGAAGCTGCAATATACCAGGGGGAACTCGTGGGAATTTGGAAGAGATGCAAGCTTCCCGTGTGCCCCTGTTAATAATAATTAGTATTGAAGTAGGGTAAAAGGCTAGGCAACCCTACATATCAAGTAATCAAGCCATCTGTGACCCTGAGGATTGGTGTAGGGATCAACATCAAATATATCTTTTAATAGGGCCTCCACGATCGTGTGGTGTTCGTGACAGCTGGAGTATTCCTCAAGGATTTGCTGATTGCGGTTTGCAATTTGGATAATCGCGTCCCATCCAAATTCGAACATGTCACGCCATTTTTCGCACAAGAGCTAGAAAGCCGGGGCCACGAACGCGCCACAGGTGTTAAAGCCAAGAGAATCAAGAAGATCAACTTCATATTAGCTTGGTGATAGATAGTCTCTCCAGAAAGTAGAAAGGGGAGAAAGAAATCGGGGAGCCAGTCGTTCTTTCAAGGTTTGTTAAGAGTAACATTCAGCTAAGCAGCTGCCCCTTTCCCGCTTTAGGGCATGCCGTCAATAGGGTCTATCTAATAGCTACATAGCGACAACCTATACAAGCGGGCCAATCACTGTCCACTATTACCCCCCCCCCCCCTCCTTCTTAGGGGGCCGCCCCTGCTGAGGAAGATCAGCAGGATTTCACCCGGAGGGACATTTGCCGTAAGGGTCATGTAGGACATTAGAGGGTTTCTGCTATTATTTATTATATTAATTTAAACTACATTGGGAATAGCGTATTCCTTTTACCAAGGCGTTTTTATTAAAAGTGGTGTTACGACCCCTGCAGTCGCCGAACCAATTGAAGAAACTCAACTCACCGATGGGCCACCGAGAGCCAACCAAGCGAACAGTCACGTGAAACAAGGGCACGAGGGAAGGATCAAACGGATCACCTAGCACGTGACCAGGATCGGTATACGACCAGACAGTCTTGGCAGTATATTCCGAGTATATTATATACCCGTTATCTACCAAGGCGTCTACTAGGTTATCTACTAGTATAAGGAACTAGATATATAAAGGATAATCTCTATTATATATATATATATCTAATTCTTCGTGATCAATCCTTATTGTTACTTAGATACTACCTTTAGTCTTATTTATAGTTTACCTTCGTGATAACTATCCTACGAGTAAGGGAGCTACTTCAGTACTGATCTATTCGGTGTATACTTAACTATTATACCTTCGTAAGCACCTAATAGGATCTATCTATATAAGGCTAGGCGTGGTATTAGTACAATTGTTGATAGGCTTAAGGCTCGTAGTTACCAAGAGAAGTATTGTAAAGAATATACTTGGTAGGGTATAAGACCTGTCGATTAGGTAAAGAAATAAGGGGAAGGAGTAAGAGTAGCAGTATATCTTTATTACTATTAAGACTAAATCTTGTCTTGCTAGCTAGATATAAGAGTATCAATTTATTATATAATATCTTCGTAACTCTATATATTATCGATAATATAAATAACTAGGTCTCTATTGTATATCGTGATTATTCTACTATAGAGTAGATTAAATAACGAGTTCCGACTTCTGGGTATTGATAGGGGCACCTCAAGATTTTCGCTATTGACACCTCATTATATTATATAATACTCATTTTGACTTATGTAATCTTTTTTTTTGATCTATTTTCTAATCACATGATAATTTTCAACCACATCTCTAATCACATAATCCTCTTATCCTAACCACCAAAAACAGATTACCCTATTTGGCAATAGGGCAACTTCGATATGTATGCCTAATTTCGCCGCAATTCGAACACTTTAGGGGCGCCTTCCTTTTTTTGATTGGTCTAGCCCCCTCGCTCCTATTTAATATCTGCGTAGATTGCCTTTTTGGGAAAGCAGCAGGCTGAATTCGGGGATTTAGCAGTGGCTGCTAAGCGATATCAGATAAATCTTCAACCCTAATTCGCCAAAATAGATGAATATCAGCCAATGGGATTGCTTCTTTTTTTGCGAGTAAATCAGCAATTCGATACTTGCATAGTAAACCTATAGTACTCGTCCAATAATTAGTGTATATACTAAGAGGGGCCTCTAAGTAGACATGGACAGACCCGTCCCATGGGTCAAAGATCTTGACCCATAACTTAAACCCACGATCTATAGGTCGGGTTAATAAAATCCTGACCCGCCTATAGGTTAACCTACGGGTTAACGGGTCAACCTATTTTTAACCTATTTTAGTATAAATTTCTTAATTAGGATAGATAATTTGCTTACCTTTTTTAATAATATACTATTATTAAATACTATTTTTGTTCTAATATAACTTATAATTATAACTCTTTATAAAAAGAATATTATATAGTAATAATATATTTAGAATATAATATATTAATTTATTGATTTAATACTTTAAGGTAAGAATTATATTTTATAATAGATAGATATAGGCGAAAGAAGATATTACTTAACTATTTCTTATACTAAACCTAAAAATATATATTTAAAGTCTATAATAGTATTACTACTTTTTATATAAATAAACTATATATATTAGAAATAATAAAATAGATATAAATCTAATATCTAATATTTCTTTATTAATATATAAGTATATTATAGTCTTAATTATATAAAAGAATTATTTTAAATATTTTTTCTAGATTTATATAAAATAACAATATTAGCTAGTTAGGTTAAAATTTTTTAGGGATAAAAAGAAAATTCTTAGGGTATTACTCTTACCTAATTATTTAGGTTAACGGGTTAGTCTATAGATTAACCTATTAATCTATTTCTTACTATCTAATAAACTTTATATATATTAGTAAAGCCTATTCTAATTAGTTATAAAATTTAGTACTAGGATAGTACTAAACTAAATTCTATCTACTAATAAAAAATAAGTATTAGATCTATATATTCCCCTAAATCTATAATAATTTACTTTAGATTATTTTTCTATATCTTAAGTCTTTTATTATAAAAGGCTTATATAGTCCCCTTTTTTATAGTAGTCTTTCTACCTTTATTAGAACTAGGGTTTTAATCTATCTACACGATTATTTAAAACCCTAGTTTTAATCTATCTATACGTTTATTTATAGCCCTGGTTCTAATATACCTACGTAAAAAGGTTAACTAGTTAGGTTAAAACTTTTAGGGAATAAAAAGAAAAATCTTAGGGTATTACTTTTACTTAATTATTTAGATTAATAGATTAGCCTATAGATTAATCTATTAATCTATTTCTTACTATCTAATAAGCTTTATATATATTAATAGAGCGTATTCTAATTAGTTATAAAATTTAGTATTAGGATAGTACTAAATCCTATCTATTAATAAAAAATAAGTATTAGACCTATATATTCCCCTAAATCTATAATAATTTATCTTAGATTATTTTTCTATATCTTAAGTCCTTTATTTTAATATACTATTACTATATATCTTCTATATTTTAGTTATCTACTTTATATCCTCTCTTTTTTATTAAGAGTAAAAGGTTTAAGTTATTTATTTTCTATTCTAATTAACTTCTTAATACTCTCTTAGAACTATTAGAAAGCTAATAAACTAAATAAAGCCTCTCTCCTATTATATTACTAATACTAAAATAATCTAATAATCGGAAAAAGACCTAGATAATTTTTAATAGTATAAATAAAGTAGAATTTTTAAACTAGTAGCTTAATACCTAAATTAGTGATTCTTATAATATTATAAAAAAGATAAACTAGGAGAGTCTACGATAGATTAATATATAGTTATATTTTAATTAAATTATATATTTAGTAATAAAAGAGCTAAAGCTCCTATATAAATAATATAGTAAGATTATAGACTATCTAATCTATATTAAAAATAAGATAATAGATCTCTAATATTACTAGAATTAGAGTATATATTAGAAAGGCTAAAATATTACTAAATATTTAATAATCTAATATCTTATAAAATATATAATATATTATATAGCTATTATTTAATTTATAAGCTAATCTTTCTTAGACTAAGAACTCCTCTTAAATAATCTAGTTAGTTATTTAAGAGTTATAGAAATAATAGTTAATTACTATAATAATTACTCTATGTTACGGACCAAGCCACCTCACTCGTGCCAGCAGGGGTACAGGAGAAAACCAGAGTCAACTAACCCCGTGGCGATGATACAGGATAATAGGGGTATGGATCACGTGACAATGTACCACGATCCATTGCCAAGGAATGGTATATCGGATAGTATATCAATAGGACTACTATATACCCGTATACAGTATACCACAAACGAAGGTATGGAATAATCGGCGAAGGATATATAAGGACACTTATTTATCGTGTACTTAGCTCCTCGCGTTTAACTTATGTTATTAACCTCAGTTACAAGTTTAACTCAGATTATCTCGTTTATACTATGATCCTCTTAAGACAACCCCTCTAGTAGTAAAGCGTCTTTGGTACTTCTACTATTAAGCACTCCTTACCCTTGATCGTTCCTCGATACCTTAATAGACCCGAGCCTATATAAGGCCTAACGGATAAGGCAATAGTACGATTGCGAGACCGGATATCGTTGATACTAGAAGACCCCTAGTCTTCTAGTATAACTAGAAAGATCTACGTGTCTTGGTATTTTAAGGGAAGTATACCTTCTGTTCTAGCTAATAATCATAGGTGACTAGTATATAATACTTTAAACGCCCGTCTTGAATCATAGTATACGAGACGTTAATACTCGATAGCCATAGCCGGTAACGATAGTGCCAGCAACCTTTCGCGTGGTTCTACGAGTTAATCTACTCTAACCAACGCGTAACTTATAGATATAATTAGTTAGCTTCAAGAGCAACTTATCTAAGAAAGAGCTAGACCAGTAGCGTCTATAAAACTACCGAAACCCGACTTCTTCGACGGAACCCGATCTAAGCTTCGAGGATTCCTGACCTAGATAGATATATAGCTACGTATTATTAACTATATAGAAGAAACGGATAAGGTTATCTACGCTTCGATTTATCTTCGAGGGTAAGCCTTCAATTAGTTCGAACCCTATATTAGGGAATTTAACGAGAAAAGATAACCTAATTAGGAAGACGTGATTTAAGCGATTTTCTAATCGTATACTAACTTTAAGAAAAAGCTCGAATAGATATTCGGAGATATCAATACGCAACGGACCGTAGAGCGACAACTTAAACGAATTCGATAAACCAGCTCAGCCAGCATTTACGCCGCTAAGTTCTAGTAGATTATCTCGTATCTCGATTATGATAACGATATATATATTTAGCTGTTCGAACGAGGACTTAAAGAAGAAATTAA